CGTCACGCTTGAGATGCGAACTTGCAACTCAAAAGTGGTGCCTTGCCTTCTAACAGCGTAAAATTAGGCGAAAACTTTAATAGTGTTTCATTTGATCGGCACTTTCACTAGCATTAAGTAGGAGATTGGCTATCAACATTTAGCCCCTCTCCATGCCATTAATTTGACGAAAGTTTCGACAGTAAAATTCACAAATTGTGACATGAATCACCCTTGGAGGAATAAATAATTAGCCCCAGTTTAATGTAGCAGATCGCACAACAGCTCATCAAGATTTTTAATTTGGCCTCCCCAAAGCCCACCGATTTGTCATTTTAAGATATGGCTAGTGTATGCCATTATTTCATGTCCTTTTATAGTAGATTATTTTATCAAGAGAATCAATGAATGACTTCGCAGTACCGAAAACAAAGATCGAGAAATTCGACATTGACCATTTCAGAACGGAAAATGTGGGTCTCTCATGTTCTTATTGCCCCCCATGTATACCTTTATTTTGAATCAACCCAACCACGTTTTAAAGTTGACATTATTGTTTAATCGTAATACCATCTCCCCAAAACTAACTAATTTGATGCATAATTTAATGCCACTGATTGTGATTTTAAGTAGGACATTTTACTAGGCTCGAAGTGCAATGGTTTTAATGCCAATTGGGACGTATTAGATGGTCAAATGACATTCCTTCACCTTAAGATTGCGTTAGGGTGCCACAAGAGAGTCATGGTGTCTAGTCAGAATGCTTAGTCCCACGCAGATCATGCGTTTTAAATTCTTGCTTCGACTTAACAACGGCTGTTTTCGTTTTGCTTTGTTTGTAGGAGGCCGGTACAAGCCCATCGCATGTACAGCCCCCTATACCCAATGGCGACGTGGGTAAAGTAAGTGGTGAGGTGCTGAAATGCTTTTTTTTCAAGAAAATAAGTCGGTTATTTTGTATTTAGACGAGTTTAGAGAACGCCGGCTCCGCGGATACCTTAGTACGGCAGAGAAGCGAAGTCGACTGCATTCAACAAATGAGAGTTCTTCGTCAAAACTCCATGGAAGTTCGAAAACGTAAGGTAATTTTGCTCTTTGCACTGTAGATATTTTTACTAAGCAGTGAGAACATTACAACTTCAAAGCAAAATGACCGGAGCTGATAATTTGTCTTTAATTACATGTTTTTCTTCCGTCATCACAGCATGCTTGAACTTTGGTGTTGAAAGCATTAACAGCGCGTGAGTGTGTATCGAGCATTCAAACAATTATAAAGAGAAAGAAAAAATTTGCAAAGGAATATTAAGATGATTCGTATCATATCCATACGGATTACGGGAGCTCCGGTTTTTTCGCATTATTTCCTTAACAGTGAGTAATTGATAGTGCTTTGCTAATTCCGACAAACCGAAGGAGTACCAAATAAGCAAACTTTGAAACATCGCGTCTAAAGCAGTTACGGTTTTTATTTTCCTGTCAAAGCATATATCATACTGTGGCAGAAAGCTGCCTAAAAAAAGGCTTGGAAAGCTTTGCTAAGTTGGAGAAAAGAAGTGGTAGTGTGTATACGTTATCCGCCTAAAAACAAATTTTAGAGGGGAAATCAAATCTCTCCACCTCCTTTATAGACGCCTTTTACGCATTTGATTTAAGCAGCAGGAAATAATTCTGCCTTCCACTTTAAATAAACTTTTATGGAAACCACAATAAAAATTAAAGTAAATTGCCCATTTTTCTACCTTTATTATGAATTAGTGAATTTTTAAATAAAGTTCCCGCTTAAAGAGAGAGTGAAAAGATGGCCATCCAAAAACGTCAAATTACCTATGCCACACCTCGAATTCCCATGCGGCTGAGAAGGTACTCGACCACAACGTCACTGAATCCCTCTTGGCTATTCTACTGCATCTGCAATTTTGTCCCCTACAGCAACTGCATTCGGCGACCCGGCGATATGCTGGTCGTCACGCGCGTGTCCACCATTAGTGGTGGGAGCAATGGCCTCGAAGCAGAGTCAAATGACAAAGGATGAGATTTAGCATAGTTTTGTGTGGGTAGGATTTCGCGTCTGTTCCTCCTTGTCACGTAGTTTTGGCTTCATAGCTGCGCAGCCGCATCCATTTTGGCAGTATTCAGGTGGTGGGTAAGTGGAGGAGGAGGAGGCACCGCGTGCTCAATTGACTGATATGCTCATGCAGGTGCAGTTGGAGACTCCGTGGTAGACTTGTGAAAGTGGTTCATGGGTAGTGTGAATGTGGTTGTTAATAGCTTTTGGGGATAAGAGGAGCCTGTGGTAATTGGCGATGACAGACGTCATTTTCAGCCCATCTGTTAGGAGTCGTCACGGATTCTGCCATCCGTAGCATGTTCACTTCTTCTGCCAGGCTAGAGCTTATCATTTAGTGGTAGAAATCATGATAATTGTCCTTTTAGATCCAGTTCGCTATTCGCTGCTACCAATGTAGAGCTCGTGATTTTCTCTTAATGCAAAGGAAGACATAATGTTCGGGCAAAATATGGGTATAAGATAAACAAAAGTTTTTGGGAGGCATTGGCTTGGCGAGGGGTCAGGAGACTCGACTAGGTTACAACGGGGAACCTCACGTGGCTCTTTACCATAATCGGGAATTGAAACAAGAATTAAAGCATTGAAATAGCACTTTTGAGGTGTGATGCAATTTGCTCAGTCGTATTGAATTTGCCGAAAATATGTTTACTTCATAGCCTATATCAAAGTGAAGCCGGGGACGACTTTCACTGGTACTTAATGCTTGTTTTTTTTAAAGAATAACTGCTGCCTATAGAGAAGCGCAACATTGATGAACCATTCCCTTGTCACTAGGTGGGATGTCTCAGGATCATCGCACCTTCAAGGGATCATTAGTTAAATAGCCCATTAGCAGAATTGTAGAAGGCTAATTACCTAACCCTTTTTAGATGATAGCGCAGCTGATCTTTTTCCTAGTTAAATACCAGTAAGTGATAAGGTAAAAGTAAAAAGTCTTAGAAGTAGGCTTCATAAAATGACTAACGTGAAGGCTTGATGCTACAATTTGGGCAATTTGTGCAGGTGATGTCAGGCTTATTTCACCACAAAGAAGACGATTGCTATTAAAAACTCCAATTCAGATTTAAGCTAACAATTTCCAGACTCAGATTTGATCAGACAAACCGGGTTAGCTACTGCTGTTGACTACAGAGAACTGGGACAGCAGTTTACTTTGTTTGTAAATATAGTGTATAAAGGTTGACCTTCTTTGGAGTGAGATTACTCATTTTTCAGCAAATCGGTCCAGGACAGAAGTTTACAATCATTGCCGATTGGCCGCATCTCACAACTCGAGGATGGTACATCTGCAAACTGTGCAAAGTTTACGAGTGCCAGAGGGCGGAATTTCAGCGACACCTGCTTAGTGAAGACCACAAACTCCATCGAAGAAAGTGAGTGAGCGCACCTGTTGCACCAATGGGTGCGGCTGTTCTTTTACAATAATATGGCCTAATTCCTTCTTAAGGGAAGGAACTTGCGGCGTTGATGACCCGGAGGAATATTTCACGCTCGGAGAAGGATAACATTGTTTTAACCCTCTATTTGATTGAATCATTCTTTTTTTCAAACCAACTTGTGATCTCTATCCCTTTCTTATGTAAATACTCTCGTATACAGTTATTAAAGAGGTGACTTTAAAGTTTCGGAGGAACCGAATCGAATCACAATTCTGAGAGCAAGAGGATCACAGTAAAGTTTGTGTCCTTTGAAAATACTTGGTTTGCAAGTTGAAACATTTTTATCATCGTAAGTTCAAAGACCAATTTCTGTCCACCTCCCCCCAAAAAGCAGGCAGATCCATTGATGATTTATGGAATGAAGAATTATCTGATAAAATTAACAATTCTTGTGCCTCATATTGGTGTCTAAAAGAACTAAAATATGCCGAATCGGTCCGTCACCGAGTTATTTTTATGTTAGATACCTCACTAGTTCTCCCGGCGGTCCAGTTATCATTCAACTTTCACCTGAGCTATTATGATGCGGCCAACGAATGAATGCGGATTAGTCGTCCTTAACTTGAACCTTTTAACATCCCCGTCTGGACACAAACCAGTGGAATTCGACATCAAGGAATTGCTCTTTAACTACCACAGTTCTTAGTAGTTCCAATTCGTTAGTGATCCGTCTCCAAGTTCACCACTCGTTACAGTATGAATTCGTTTGCATACCTTAATGCGGCCATTTCTACATAAATTTGTATTTTCAAAAGTCCTGACGGTCGCATTGTTTGAAAGAGAGCTCAGTCCGGTTTGAATTATGACAGTTAATAAACTCTTCAAGTAGGGGCTTTAAATTCATGTAGCTCCCTTAAAGGTGGCAGTGTATCCTTTTTTTGGTGAGAATGGTGTAAATGTGTACGCAAACTTTCACTTGATGGGCTTCATGGGTAGGTAAGCATCCTCTTCCCGGGATTTAATTGTTTATGTGACCGTTGCAACGGAAGATCTTAGTTTCACTCCTGAGAAATTGACAAACTTTATTGAAGTAGATCGATGACCCAAAAGCTTGTCTAGTCTAGTGACAGCTACCGCGTCATCCTCAACTACGCATTTCCCATTTACTTAGTTTCTCCAATTGAACCGAGAATCCGAAATACCACGCGGGATTCTAGAGGCTTACAACCTATTCTCCTTCCTATTTGCTGATGGCCTTATCAACTGACCACCAATAAGCTGATAGGATATTCCAACCTCTCTCCCAGATAGCAATTCGGCGTAATCGCAACTGAAATGGGGCTATTCCCACGGACAGCAACGAATGATGAATGGAACCAATGCCAACTGTCAGTGGAGAGTCAAGATGATTAATAAGCATAAGTTTAGACCAATGTCTGGCTTTAGAATATATTTCCTCTAAAAAACATGCAGGAACATGTACTGGTCCTTCATTGTAGTTTGTTATCAGAGATGGGTCCCTCGATTTTAGAAATGGCATGTTGTTAAACAGGTCCTGAAACGGCATTACAACCCAACACCCAGAACATGTACTATCATCGTCCAAATTACTTTCCCGCCGACCCCCACATACCGAATAAACACGCATTGTCAAGTCATGAGTCAAATTACCCCTTCGGGCATCTGCAAGGTATAGGATGTACAAGCATTTCTTCAATCGTTTTGATGCGTTCATCTACTGATGGATTATTCACTGTAGCCACCCAAGCTCTCCTGAAGCCACATCAGGTCAATGTACTGTGAAGAGCATGTGTTATTGACGCGCAGACGCAGAAGGACCAGAAGGCAATGCAAAAGGGAGGACGTGCAACATACGAGGGCTCAAGGGCTGACGTGGTTAAACAAAGTAGTAAATCACTGCATCACATTCAGAAGTCAAAAGTAAATCATATTCATACTATCTAATAACTCAAAAGCAACTTTATTCGCCTTAAATTACCCATATAGTTATCTGAATTATTCTTAAGGGAAAAATGGGGACAATGTTAGCTACATCAAAAAAGGTCATAAGAAAACTATCAATGAAATTTTAAGGCACCACAGGATTGTAAAAACAGCAAAAAATTGACTCGTTGGCAAAAAGTTAATTTGTTTAAAACCCAGGGATATAATTGACGTCGCAAGTGTGTGTTTTGCATATATGAACATTCACTTAATATTCAAAACGGAAAAATAGCGTTAAAAATGGGGACATTGATTAAGACATGCAAGTCATTATTAAAAAAGACCACACAGTGCGATCAATCGATGTCGATCACCCGAATCTCAACTGAAGTCGCAAGAAGTCACAGTAGATACCATTATTACCAACGCACAGTAAAGCTGGGGGGCTAAAATTTCAAGTGGAAGTAAAATCTATGTTTACTTAATTGTCCACGTAGTCAAATACAAAGTCAAATAAAATAACAAATTACTGTACCAGAATACGGAAGAGTCCAGTACTGCGATCCCCCAAAGGCCGTGATTTTAAAGAAAGTTTTAACCTGAGGAGACTTGGGCACCCGACTAAACCAAAAGCGGAGACAACTAACCCATTAAAGCATTACAGAGGATTGTACAAGACTTTAACAGGTTTTTCCCTATATTTGGAAATGTGTGCTAAAATTTGCTATTACTTACTGCAAAGCTTTTTGCTCACATTAACATAAAAGTTATGTTTTCCAGTTGCAAAGGCCCTTGCAGTGCTTTGGCTTTCAGTATTTACTTTTTTGGCTTCCCACATATAACAGCACAAAAACGATTACAATTCCATTTTTTTGCCAGCTTATTTAGTCAATTGGCTAGTTTGGCTAAATAAAAATAACAAAATGTTATGTAAAATTTGTGCTTTTTATGCCACTTTATTTGTTTAAATGCTTAGCTGCTAAACCTTGCACATAAAAGCGGATTTATCTGTGTGGGCGCCGTGCTGCCTTCGCTTACCGGCGTGCCTGTCTTGCTAGGTAGTCCAGTTCCTTTCTGATAGAGCTGGTTTGATTTTAACCGGATTTCTATCTTGTTTTATTAATAAATCTTATTGGGTTGTGTAAGCTTTTTTATGGACACTGAGGTAATAATTATTTCGGCCTTTTGCGATAGTAAGCTGGCAAAATGTCATTCACTAACCGATCCATGCCTTTCCTAATTGTCATTGCTACTGTTTGTTGCTTGTTCGTTTGCATGTCATCACAAATCATGTCATTTGTCCATTTTGAGTGCATGTCAATTGAGACTACATGTTAAGGGTCACATTGATGCGTTCGTGATAAATGAGTTTTTTCGCCTTTTAAAGCATGTAATCGTACGGTCGCAAACGTATGCCTGTGCGGCTTTACATTCCTGATAATTTGTGTCGTGAATAACGCCGGACTTGTTTTGCGGATTTTTTGGTGCTGTTATTCGTAATTTCCTAAAAATTCAGTAGTATTACGCCTTCTGAACCGCACTTCTCGTTTTCACCGAGTTGAGTACCTTTGCACTGATTTTTAAGCAACCTTACTTGTTTGGGAATCGTACAAACAATTAAATTGTTTTATCGTGAAGGGTATTCAATTCGTTTGAAACATCTGGGTCGATGATATGTGACAGATGCTAACGCCGACGCTAACCTGTAACTCACGACTGCTTTACTTTCAGCCAACCGGCACTCAAGATGTTTGGCTGTCATTGTCTCAGACGAGCGTGCACTCCACTATCTGCTATCGCTTGCTTTTTTAATCCGGTAATTTCTACCTTTAAGTAGGCATTCTTTGTTCTTATGTGTGGCTGCGTGACTTGGGTGTTTCTGCAATGAAGATCGTCTGGGAACTAGATTTCTTCCGAATGTTCGTAGGATGTACCAGTCACTACACTGCCTCCTTACCGGCGTACCGTAGGTCCGCGATAAAACCAACTGCTAGTTGTTCTGACAATCGCTATATTAGCTACGCTATAGTGAATACTTCCCTTTTGACATCTGCAGTTTGCGGCTGTTTACGTGGTGTGGTCTTTAATCCTTTTTAGCGAAGAACCGCTATGGCTCCAATAGGTGGTTCTGCGGAGCAGGTTGAAAAACTTCGAAATAAGATCAATAATGCTGCCGTCCTAGTCTTTGCTAAAAGTTTCTGTCCGTACTGCAAAAAGGTATCGGCTTCGTTTTGGTTCGTTTACTGGTACTGAATAGGTTATGGAGCGGTTTAACAATTTGAAAATTCCGTTCGGATACCTTGATTTGGACTTAAAAAGTGCGTGCTTTTCCTATAGAGGACTTAATGTTTCATTAGAGAATGGATCTGATTATCAGAAGATGCTACAAGAAATCACTGGTCGAACTACAGTCCCTCAGGTTTTTTTCCGTGGTGAATTCATCGGTAAGCTTAATGGTTAAACCTTGATCTGGGTTCTTATTCATGCTGTTAATATTGCGCTAGGACGTGCTTTGCGCCAATCTGTGGTTACTGGAGAAATTTACGATGGTGAATGTTAATTCTGCTCCAGGTGGTTGCGACGATGTGATGGCGATTGACGATGATACCATTGTGAAGAAGGCAAATGAGATGAAATACGATTATGACATGGTGATCATCGGTGGTGGTTCCGGCGGATTAGCTCTGGCTAAGGTCAGCTAAGAATTTTCCATTTAAACGTTATCATTTGCCATGTAGGAATTGCTTAGATGCACAGGTAATTTCCATTATCGTGGCGGCTTCTGCTCTGTCACTCAGGTCTATCTGTCTGCAATGCCTGTGACAACATGACTCATACTGAGTAAAGACGGATCAGTTTTTTCATCGTGCCACAGCTAAATTTTTTGGGGCATAATTTGGCGGTGGGAGACTTTATTTATGGAGGCTTGTATGGCAATCTACTAAAATGAAATATTCCAATTGAATAGATGAGGTTGGATAAGTTTTTTACATTTTGATAGCACTTTCGCATAGATTGTTAAGATTTTATCAATACTTTTCTCGGTTTTTTGGAAACAGCGTAGTTTCTAATATCTGGCGTAAGTTCAGTGTCTTTTAGTGCTGAACTGATTATGGGAGATTCTTTGTGTAATTTGGTAGGTTTTTTTGTTGCCGTAGGTTGCGTAGCTCTTTGTCTGCTACCTCATCGCTATCCAAATGGCCCAGCGGCGCCTTTTCCGGCACATTTCCTTCGAGGAACCCACTCAGAACCATGTTTATAGAATTCCTCGTACTCCATCATGATTTATTTAGGTCGTCTAACAAAATTGAAGATCACAGGCTTCTCAATAATGCTAGCAGTCATAGTCTAAGCCCGTTATCAACTCAAAATGGGGTCTTTTTCAATAACCTGCAGGAATCGGCAAAGTCGGGCGCCAAAGTTGCTCTTCTCGACTTCGTCGTACCTACACCTATGGGCACCACCTGGGGTTTGGGTGGTACTTGCGTCAATGTTGGCTGCATCCCCAAAAAACTCATGCATCAAGCTGCTCTCTTAAGTGAGTCTTGGATTTTAGAAGCCTGATTACCGAGTCGGCTTTGGCACCTTCGTTTAGATTTGGCTTTTGAAGACCACCGAGAGTACATCGTTACTCTAATTTGATCCATGCGTTTTCACAAGGGGCTATTTATGACTGCTGTAAATTATTTGTTCATCTTACAGATCACTACATGGAGGATGCCAAATCCTTCGGTTGGGATGTAGATAAAGGTATGATTATTTGCTATTTACAAAATTGTAGTTAGTGACATTGCATTCTCCCTTTACTGCTCCTCCTCCAATAGGTCCTCACGATTGGGTCAAGATGGTGGAAGGCATTCAGGACCACATTCACGCCCTCAACTTTGGCTACCGTTCATCCATGATGAACGCCAATGTTAAGTATCTCAACGCCCTTGGTGAAATTGTAGACCCACATACCATCAAGGTGATTTATCTTTGAGAAAATGGTTTGTGTTAGGAAATATGTTACCCCAAGATTAATGTCTATCATATTGATATCCTATGTTATCACATCATATATTCTAACTCAAGTTTTCCGCAGAAGGGCGCACCGTCTACTTAACCGATCAAAGATATGCTACTTTCCTATTTTTCCTCGACTGCACCTTGTACGCTACAACCAAAGATATTTACTCAAAAGTTAATGCCCTTTTGTGCTGTAGTTTGCTTTTACGACGCTGGCTGCTCTTGATCCCGTTTAACCCTTGGCCGTCCTCGAAACTTGTAGACTACAAATAAACAGGGCATAGTAAAGAACATCACCACCAACACGATCATTGTGGCCACGGGTGAGCGCCCACGCTATCCCCCGATTCCAGGAGCCAAAGAGTATGGCATCACTAGGTTAGTACCCTCGGATGCATTAGTTGGGTTGATTTGAAAAATCCGCTTTCTTCGGTGCAGTTCAGCGGGAACAAGCGGAGGGGAGGGGGAGAGATGTCATCTGTTTTCTTACCCATTGCAGTGACGACCTCTTCTCATTGGACCATAATCCAGGCAAGACACTGTGTGTGGGAGCGAGCTACGTCTCCCTTGAGTGTGCCGGATTCTTGAGCAGCATTGGCTGTGATGTGACTGTGATGGTGCGCTCAATTTTCCTCCGCGGTTTCGATCAGCAGATGGCTGGGTTAGTCAGTGACTACATGGCGAAGTACGGCGTCAAATTTGTCCGTCCCTGTGTCCCCACTTCTGTAAGTTCAGGATACTCTTCCTCTATATACTCCAGTTCCATGAATTACACAAAGACTTTATGTGCATCTGCGCTTGAATAATGTGAGCGAATTCTTCTCTTAGAATACCGTTGGCCGAAACCGTGCCTCTATTTAGGCTCAAAACTTTGGCAAGCTGTAAATATGCGGAGTGTTTACCGACTTTACGCACCATCTAGGACACCGCGATCGTACAAGTTCATGACCCAAAGTTGTCCTTTTCTCCCCTTTCCTATGGTTGTTTCACCAGTCACGTGGAGTTGTGCTAAAAATTACCAGGAAAATGACGTAGGATGTCCCCATGCATGTACCATAAATCTACGTTGCCGAAGTATATTTTCACTCGAGAGGCAATCTAACTAATCCGGCTTGCTAAAGTGGTAGTCAACCAATGCCAAGCGAGTGAACGCATTGATGTCCACAAAGTCCACCCTTCGTTTGGTCTGATTGCGTTATTCTCACCAAGCTTATTAGTATTTAGAAACTACTGCATATCTCACGCGAATTACAAGTCATTAATGTGGTGTTCTTAAGTTCGGGCACTGAGTATCGCTTTTACACTAGTCAGCTTTAGTGGGGAATTTGTAGCATCTCTACCTTTGCATTACGAAAATGTGCTGGGTGTGGCCTTGGGCGTTTATCAAGTTTTAAGCCTTGGGGCTTATGCTTGTATAGTATGCACAAAACGTTATTACATACTTGAAATGTCAGTCTGTAAGCTATCTGCTAACCACTACCATTGTTTTTGTCCCAAGTCATTATTCTTTTCCATCGAAGAACTGGTGTTCAAGGTCCATAGTTTGTGTTCGGAGATCATAGAAATAGTTCCTCATCTATCAAAATTTGCCCCCTCTTCTGATTTACGTTTAAATATGTTATCCATTCACTTTTCAGGTTCGATGCCTGGAGGAGTATGATCCAGAATCGGGTAAGCTTGCCATCTATGAAGTTGAAGGCAAACACGAGGATGGGACGCCGTTTAAGGATACTTTCAACACGGTAAGCTCAAATGCGTTTACTTTCCACAAGACTCCCATCATTTGAAACTTTTTTAGAAATCCTCACCTGTAATTATTGGCAAATTTGTCGTTAGTTTCCGATTTTTGGGAAGTAACGCTAATTGGTTTTTAAATACAGTGATGCCTCTGCAAGGTCTATAATTTCACCAGAGAATCTGGGGACAAAGCCGATTGGGTCTTGAGTTTTTTTTAAATCGCTATAGGTCCTGTTTGCAGTGGGTCGTGATCCCTGCACCACCAACATTGGCCTACAGAATGTTGATGTCAAAACCACCAAGTGAGTCAACACTTATTACGCTTCCCTAGCAGGATGTGTGACGTATTTCACCCTGTTTTCTTCAAAAGTGGCCGCGTCGTTGTTGACGACGAGGAGCGCACAAATGTCCCCAACATCTATGCCATTGGCGACGTGAACAACGCTGGCTATCAGCTGACTCCTCTTGCCATCCAGGCAGGGAAAAACCTCGCTCGCCGTCTCTACACCGCAGATGACTGTCGGGTAAGCCCTTTTCCCCAGCTGTTTGCTGCCAGCGCTTACAACAAGGATGTGTTGGGTGGTTTGGCCAGTTATTGTAATAGCTTCCCTCCATTAGGCATTGGTTAAAGGTTCCTGTTTTCGTTTCTTCGTTTAGGATACTTGTGTTGTCTCAATATCAACTCATAGTGTTTTTTTGCAAACAGATTTGATTCTGCTTTTTCAGACGGATTATACCAATGTTCCTACAACAGTTTTCACTCCCCTCGAATATGGCTGCATTGGTCTTTCCGAGGAAAATGCTATTAGCAAATTCGGGGAAGACAATATCGAGGCGAGTAATTTCTCGCAAATCCGTCTAGCTGCATATATTTCTCCCCACATCATCTCTTTAATTTATTCTACCACCTTTTAGGTCTTCCATTCCTACTTTCAACCACTTGAGTGGACTGTTCCTCACCGTCCGGATAACACTTGTTACGCGAAACTCATTATTAATAAACAGGACGTGAGTTTTTTGCTTCTTGCTTTCTAATCAGAACTTGCGCATTAAGTTGCTAATGTCATTCATGCTTGGTAGAGTGGTCGGTTTAAGAAACCCTGTGTTTGGTTTCCTTAATGAAGTAGTTTGGTGTTTTATGCCCGTCATTGTTCCTCCTGGGGGCTGGTACATAGAGCCGCCGTGTTACGTTGAGAGAGCATCATCACCACACATGCCTGGTGATCTCAAAAATTTGTGTGCAAATTTCACCACATTAGGTATCTGTAAGCAGGTTTTGAAGGATAGCGCGTCTAACTCTGTCTCCTTCTCATACAGAAAGGGATATTCTTTGAACATTAATGTGATCTCTATCCTCGAGGACTAACAGGAACGGAGTTTTTCTTTATTTTCCTTAAACGTCATAAAGGGTTTTAGAACAGCGATTGTGGAGTATTGGACTCAGTTGTTCCCATGTTACATTTAAATGTAACATTTGAATTATGACGTGTGATCTGAATGTTTAAATTACTGTCAAAATCATTAGTTGATTCCTGCTGTCCGTTGTTTCACAACGGAATTACCTTCCTCCTAATATAGCGCATTTGGGTATTACGATAATTATTTTTTGGGTGTTAGATTGATGGAGGGGGTGTTGGGGAAGGGCGCATTAACGCATTTACTCAGGACCTTTATGCTTCTCCACAGGACAACCGCGTGGTAGGATTCCATGTGTTTGGTCCCAACGCCGGAGAGGTGACACAGGGCTACGCGGTTGCCATGCACCTGGGCGCGAGGAAGGAGGACTTCGATCGTACCATTGGTATCCATCCTACCTGTTCAGAGGTGAGTCGCCAGCTCACCACAAATTTTACCCTTTTGAACTAGTTATGTACTAGGCTTATTTTCAATGGAGTTAGCTATTTAGAGGTTTTGTCACAATAGTTGAACACTAACCAATTTGCAAACAATAAATGGTCACCTGAAATGACTAGAAGAAGCTGAGTAATCAAACTTATAAACTCAGCCGAGGTTCTACTTGAAGATCAAAAACCACTTGGCTGGGTTCAGATAACAGTTGAAAACCCTTAATGATCCAATCACCAATCCTAGGACATCAGAGCTCAATGATTGTTTTGTTTTTATTCCGTGAAGACTTTCACAACTCTGCGCGTAACGAAGAGCTCTGGCGCATCTGCTACCGTAACCGGCTGCTGAGGTTAAGTCCTGCCGGAGCACACACCTAGTCCTTGCCCCGTTGGTGGTAGTCTTCAATTATCGCGCTTTACGGGGAAAGTGGGATTTAGTGCTCCGGTGGGAATAAAATTCGTGACGCTTAGGGATGGTGGCTGCGAGGAGGCATAGGACGAAACCGTACTATGACTCGAGACCCGTCAACCGAGCTTTGCGGAGCGGATCTTGACGATGTAGGTCGTCTCTGTGCTCCCTCTCCCCTCCCGTCTGTGCATCCTTCTGACTATTTTCGGTACACATCCAAGAACACTTGCAGATTCCATGCCCTATCCTTGGACTTACCTCTTTCCGTGCTCTCATTTTTATGGCTTGTTTGACAGCCTTTCTCCAAGCTGACTGTTTGTGATTTGAAAATCGAACAAATAGTTTCTTTTCAAGGCGTTCATTTTTACGTTTTATGCCTTATAAGTCTTTGCATCATTAACCAAGTCCTGCCCTTTATGTTGGGGTCGCGTACTTAAGAGTACTGGGGTCGCGCTTTTTCTTAATGATGATGGGTTTGGGCCTGCTATGGTAGCATTGATAGAGGACTGAGATCATCGTCCCAAGGCGCTATGCGTGGCTGTGAATTTTGAAGAATCACAACTTCGTATTTGGTTACAGGTAATTACTGATGGCAAAAAATATACGACAGCAAACTGCCAACATAGATTCCGACTGCCTGTGATACCGGTTCCAATAGTAGTGTTCAAGTTTACGAGGTCGCTGAGAACAGAAATGCTGCATATAGCTTGGAACCCCGCAGTTGCAAACACGGATAACAGGATTCGCTCGATTCCTCCACTATTTACCCAGGCATTCTCCTACCTTTGAATTTTGTGCTCATTTGCCTTAACTATTCAGTTAAGCTTTGTTGGGGACATTAATTGGCAAAATCACTTATCCCATGATAAAGCATTCACCAATGGGGCCTTGCGCGTTACGTTTAGTACTTCAGCTATAGTACATTTGCTATTCCCCCACCTCTATCCCTGAAAGTATGGACTAACATGGGGTAGGGATGATCTGTATCATGGCTCCAGTAGCCTGGTAAACTTTTAATTTGTTTTCAAGGTCAGGCAGGTGACTACCTAATTGGTCAAGAAATGTAGGCTTCTATTAGCTTCAATTAACTAATAGTATTGTTTGCAGTAGCTACATATCACTCCCTACCCACACCAGGCGTTCCGACTTAACAACTTTAAGATTACGCTAAGCCACTGAAAACTGAACTGGCCATACTTTGTAACCGCCTCAAGCTTGTTGCTCCCCTCCTCAAAATGATTTGTGAATTGAACCGCAATAGTCGCGTACGTATGTCGCGGTCGTCCGTTACTGGTGGCAGGGGTTATATCGTGTGCCTCCATTACCACAAGAATGTTTGTAGATCGCGCATTAAAGCTCCCCACACTTTACCATTCATAACAGTTCACACCAGTTTTTAGCTGCGATTAAGAAACAAGATATTTAATACTTATCATCGCTTGAAACGGAATGCGAGAACTCGACCCTGACGCCATTTGGACTATCACTGCAATCTAAAAAGTTGTCTCGAACAAGGCAATACAAATGCAAGGCACCTATTGCGCCGTAGCAAATAATTGCAAGGTCCAAAATACAATAGTTTATGAGTTATTCGCATGGTGGGGGCCGTCGAACACAATTCCCTATTATTGGGTACAGGCTATAAAACACTCGGAAGACTAATTAATTGCAGTGAAGCGCCAGACAGAAGTCTATCCTCCTCAAGGAGGAATGATGGTGAGATTTGAGTGCATATGCAAGCTAAAGGTGATGAACCCGAGCGCGAATGAGTTTTCATGACACGGAAAATGTAGTGGCTAGATTTGATGGACATTTGCGATGGGAGAACTGGACTGCACACTTTCAGCCGAAGAACGACTGAGTAATGTGGAGAGATTCTGCTACCAGGCACCAGCTATTGTACAAAGCAAGCAGGAAGGTGTCACTATGACAGCTCTGTTTTGTGAGGCTGAAAGGCCAGCGATCATTGATGCGAACAACCAGATTACCAGTAAGTGTCGCTAAGTGAAGGATGATTGGGACCCCTCAAAACTCGGAAGCAAACAAAATTTGCTACCTCAGGGCACTATATGTATCAAAAACCTCAATTTACAACGTAAATTGTTTTTGGCACATAAAAGGTACCACCATTGAGTTGAAAATCATTGGATTTTTGTTAATCAGTAAGGCAAAATATGTGAGGCGCAACAACCGATCACAACGAACCAAAATGGATCGGTTCCTTTAAAGTAATGAAATCGGGAAAAATTTAACCAAGTTTTAAAATTCGAGATTACCCACGTGAGGAAAGCCTAATTATTGAAAAGTCCAACCCGGGATTGGCCATTTTAGACAGTAGATGGGAAAGTTGCCTGCATATATGGTAAATCACTGAGATCATTACGACTGAAAAATCGCTGCCTTTACCTTTAACATGAATGAATGAACCAAATGGGTGGAAAATACCACCTTCTATAAGAGTAATAGAATAAGCAAAAATGACGCTTCTGAAAAGCGCTCAAGTGTTTAATTCAAGCACTTTTTTCATAAGCAAATACACATGAAAAGTAAGCTAGTGTGTGGTCTGAGATGGTTGAGCAGGTACAGGATTTGGTGAGACCAAGGATTCACTGTCAAGCCGATCTCGTGTTTCAATCAAGTCCGACAGCTGTTTGGCCGAATGAAGTAGGGCTGCTCGACGAGTGGCCAGTTCAGCTACCAGGCGTAGACTACGTCGAAAACTGACCTGCGCTAGCCGCAACTGCGGGGGCACCAAAACCCCACAGAACCAGTTGATTGGGTCGGGCACCTTGCAGTCTGTAGACGCCCTGGTAGCATCAGCACTACCTACGTAATTATCAAAAGGAGACAGTTCATCCACCAGGTGAAATGATGAAGAATTATCCACTCGAATGCGTGCGGTGGCGCCATGCGACGCCATCTCAGCTGAGTTGTAAGAGGCATTGGATATTTTGGCCGATCCGCAGAGTGAGTTACATCTTGTTTTCGCTAGGGAAATACGACCTGTTTCTAGAGAAGTTATTGAGAAGAGGAAGCCATCTTTAAAAGCACTCGACTTTGACAAGTATGGTCGTAAATGAATTCGCAAGGAATGTGTCTCATGCATGAATGAGATTCGTGAAGCACAAAAACATACACAAACTTTAATAAAACATGAAAGCCTTTGCGAACATAAAAGTCACAGTGTTTATAAACAAAAATGCCCCGTTTTAAACATACCAAGTGCATTAAAGGAAAAACTTCATCATGCACATAAAGGCAAACGCACTGAGTGAGTTTTCAAGGTGGTGATAAATTTCTAGGTAAGCAGAAACGTTAGCCAAGTGCACCAACAGGACCCTATTAATATCATCATCAGTAGGCGGAGGGCAGCCCATTTGCAAAACGCGCGTCCTCTTTAAGCCGCTACAAACGAATTAATGCACTTTGACAGAAATAACAAGCGAGTAATTGCTTGTAAGCATACTTTTTTAAATATTTTTGCGGCTTTGACGGCGCTGACAAATTTGCACCTAAAAGTATACAATTACGTCAAGCATAAGTTAAGCAAAGTATCAAATCACTACATGTAAATGAAACTGAAGATCAAACTGCTTTATTTAGGTTAAAATAAAACAAACAATAAAATAAAGAAAAAATTGATTGTTAGACTGAGAAGGTAAATAACACTGAACTTCGTCTTATTATAATGGCTCAAAAGGTTTTTTATATCTCAATTTATTAATGTTTACTGAGGATAACACATCATTTATTCAAAAATGCTCCTATATAGTCTCGTTGGATCTACTAATCCAAAAGTATTACAGGGCGTCGAGACCTTCCCGATGACAGGATTTGACAATTCTGCTTCCCAATATGATTGTCGACATGCAGGTGGGCTAAGTGGCTACTGGCATGGCTCTTAGGTCATGTCATCTGGTGGAAGCACATTGACCGTGTCCTTTAGTAAGAATTTAACAAAAATCCGAAATCCCTCAGGATCTGCATTGCAGATTTGTTTGATAGCTGGGAAAATAATAGGGTAGCTCGGCACTGCCGCCGAATCACGTGGATCTGTGAAGAACCCACCGGTCAAAGTTAGTCTTAGAAAGTGGATTTCTACTACAACTGCAACACTTCGTAGTACTTACCGAACCAATTTATCGTACCGGTTTTTGCTGAGAAATTAGCGAGAGCAAATTAGTGGGCACTATCCAAACACGAAGTCAGTCGAATTCACCTTAAATTCTGTTTATTTATATTAGTAGAGGCTGCAAGACAGCTTCTAATTAATTAGTTAACTGTTTTGGTGGTTTACCTAATGCATTTACTTTTCAAATCCCAAACTACAGGCTTGGCTGATGTCGCTAAAGCTCATAAGGGAAATGGTGCAGTCAAAGACTCAACCCACTTTCAGGTAACACTCTGTGAGATTTTTTAAGGAATTTCAAATTGAACTGGCATTAAATAACCGAAATTTCCCTACCTCGAGTAAATAAAATTTCACCAGCTATTCATGTGGAGACCCGAAAAATCAAGAAGTTAATGAAATTCCTTTGAGCATCACAAAAAGTTTCCTTAGATTTTTTTCTGGCGCTAAAGCGGGAGGTTAATGACGATTCACGGTTTCCAAACGGCCTAGCAAAATATGCAACTGATAAAACTGAACTTGGAGGCGCTACAACTACTTTGTTTGGCACCACTAATAAGCACGGGCAGACTTTTCCGCTACTTTAAACAAATTGTTTGCTGCAAGAAAAACGCCCTAGCTCGAAGATTGGGCCCCTACTTTGCCACTGACAGAATATCACCATTACTGTGGAATCACGGAATGTCATCCTACTTACTACACAGTCCGTCTTTTCTTCTGGCCTTGATTCTGGAAATTACCATTTGTATGCAGTATATGTATCCCAAATCATTTTGTTCTTAATATAGGAGAGAATGGTTATCAGATTTAGAATCTCCGGTGTTAACGGGAAAGTATTTCATGCATAAAGAGACACCTTTCAAATGCTTAACGGATTGATCTCGATCTTTCTGCGGTGAATACAATAATTACTAGATATGATATATGATATGATATATCCCTGAAGACGGGTGAAGACATAATGCTAGAGTGAATAAAGTACTGTCGAAGTACAGATGGGCTGAGGGGCTACCACAATGTCTTAAAGGCCATGCTGCTGTGAGGAGGCACAGTGGCTGTGCCCTTCAATACCCTCGTAACCAAAACGAGGAGTTAAACGAACAGTCGGAGTGCTCAACAAGTACCCATAGGATTTGTATTCTTCATAATATAAGTGCATAAGAAAAGCACGGGGAATAATATTGATGAAAACGCGAAATTTCTGCTAGGCGAAATGTTCCATTGGTTATAAAGCATTGGTTATAAAGCGGATACTCGTTTGTGTTAATTACTTGTGATACTGATTCCTTAAGGGCGATTATTTAAGCAAACATAATATTCAGCTTTTGACTTAAAGAGTTCGTCAACTGTAGCAGTCACCAACATCTGTCACCGTCTCCAGAATGATAAGTGGCTGTCAAACGAAGTCTTGCTGTTTCCATTAATCAGTCCCGTTAACTCCAAAGTACTCGTTCCTCATCCGACTAGGACTGAAATATGGTGTTATTGAAAGTAATTATGAATAAAGAGTGCAATAAAAGCAACTTTTAACGCAGCGCATTTGTGTCTGATTGCAAAAAGGTAAAGCTCAAGATACAAAGTCCTCCTATAATTAAGAGAGGGGTTCTTCGCCGAGAACATACATTTATTACAGGGAGAAGCGATTTTGTAGAATCCTAACGATATTAAGGAGAATTTTAAGTAAATCATCTACAAATTTGCATTAAGCCGTTATTAAATTATTCAATTTCGGTGTTTTAAGTATGGCTGGCACTTATTCTACACACATATAAGTGTGATGAACAGGACGTTTTATCTCTTATTCTGAAATCATCTCTGGTCTTCAAATTTTAGGTCACTTTAATTCAATCTTTTTTCATTCCACTTGCTTCTCTACATCTAAGCAACAAATGCACGTTTGGACACAGTTAAGTGATTTTCGGGGAAGGAGAGAGGCGGTGGCATTTGAATAAGGTCTATATTGTTGTGCAAAAAAGGAGGCCAGAAAGAGGCATGAATAGAGATAGCTTGCCGTTTTAGAAAAAGGGGTAAGAAGAAGAACAGAACTTCACACACCAGCGCGAGCACAAAAAAGTCGTGCCTTTGCCTCGCCTGTCTATTAGTCATAGTATGAAATTGGCGCTCCAAGGGGCGGCAGCGGTGGGTCTATCTCGTTCACACGATTCCAAGCGGCATCCACTATCATGGGTCGCTGGTGGCGCAGGGACTGATGGTGGGGCTGGTGAGGGGAGTTGGAGGAGGCCCAGTTCTCGGTGGGCGGCTCCACTGCCGCTGGTGGCAGGTTGGGCGCGGGACGACGATGCACCGGGTAGTGCAAGAACCGCTCTCCATTCACGGACCGGGAGAAGTGCGGATTGGTGCGCGGAAGAACAAGTGGCATATCGGCTGCCTGACTGGTAGAGGCTCGAGGCTGGAACCACCGCCAAGTGAATCGGCGACCGCGTGGTGGTCTGACGGACGGTTGCGGTTGTGGCGGTGAAGAAACGGACTCGCTCTCTCCGTCGGCATCGCGACCAACAAGACTGAGACACTTGCGCGGCTGGAAGCAGACTGCACAGACTACCATGTACACCACTAGGAGGGTGATGAGAATGTAGGCTACAAGGAGACCGACGAACCGACTGCTTCTTGGATTGACGGAAATGCCAAAGTCGGTGAGGGTCGGCTTTGGCGAAGGGATGTGAAAGATGTCCTCTTGTGCTATGTTGGCAGAATCTGCTAGAGCTATATTTCGCCCCTCCGGAACTGCAATAAAAGTAGTCTTTACCGTTCTCGGTCCTTTGTTGCGCGAATATGTGCCCCAACGAAAATGGGTTTACTAAAGAATGATGTTGATGATTTTAAAAGGATGGCGAGAGAAAGAATGCTCTGATCTAAAATTAAAATTCCGAGGGATTAGCCACTGGGTGAATAAAAATATTGTAATGGTTCAAATGCAAATCAAAAATTTTTTAAAATAATATTTAGAAAACCACAACTCAGTTGTAAGGTTTATGCTGGAATTACCTTATCTTTGTTAAAAAGGGAACTTAGCTAATTTATTTGTTATTCGAGCATCAAGGGCATATAAAAGTGGTTAGGAATGAAGGCCATCTTTAAGGCAGTCAGTAAAACTTTCGCAGTGTTTTTCAAACAAGTAATGCAAATGTGTGGCTAAAGTTGCCATAAAGTGTCGACTAATTTGCTTTCTGGCCACACTATCATTTACGCCAGTTCCTCCTCACACTCATTGTGCCGCCCCGTCATCGTCGGTTGCAAATAACTCACCGTTGGGTGCCTTTTTCTATAATTAAAACCTCTTCACCATGTAAATAAGCAGACATTCTGCCAAATGAGCGTTTTTCCGCATGCATCCACACACCCTAATGCGAATTTTTGTTATCTGCAAGCAATATAATTTTTAAAAACTTATGCAAGAGTAGGAATACGGGGAGGGTTTTTTTTACGAACCTTTCCTCTTCTATTTTGGAAACACACCGTTAATTCCAAGTAAATTTAACTATAACGCAATCACTTTTGTTTATTTAAGTGGATATTTATTCAAAACATGCCCCTCTTTAAAATTTAGCCAAATCTATTCGGCTGGATGCCTGCAACGATGGATAGCCCACGAGCATAACCTTGACTAAAATTGTCTTCATAAATACACAGGGCTGCTATTGAACATGTCGCCCAAAAGTACAGAATAATGTTTGTGGCGCCTTTAGAAAATGATTTGGCTTTAAATGTCAGTAAAATGAGGTATTGAGCTAAAAATAGCCAAAACCGGTGTACTGAGAAGGACAGAAAGTGGAAAGTTGGGTTATTTCTTAGTGGCAAAAATATATCCACAGCAGTCAATCGCTTGTTGCTGATGAAGCAAAAACATTACGGGCAACAGATTGCAGTATTTTATAAGTAAAGGCCTGCATATCAACCGGGATGTGAAGGAAAAGTGGGTCTTGTCATTAAAAAACATTGGAAATCGACTATGCCAAGTATCATAAACTCATTTCAAATATCCATTAAAATATGGCAAATGTCATTGTATATTCTTGATCTGATGAAGGCAGCAATAAAATTTCGGAGATTGATTGACGCTACAGTAGTACAAACTGGGTAATGTATTAGACTTTTCACTCACACTGCTTCGTGAACTGCTGATTTCCGCTTGCAACTGGTCTATTCCCACCAGCGTCAAGGAAAATAGGAACCACATCTCACGGCTGTTGCATCGTTACAAAGTCCACTATTACGACAGAGGCAGCTTTAATGGTGCTTTATCAAATTTCACGATTGCACTTGTAAACGAATGAAATCCTTTACCATTTCGATGGTAATTTGGGGTTCTATCAGTGTAATTTAAGAGAGTTAAACAAGTCAGGAACCTATTGCATACAGAAGCAGCTCTGAAGTCCCATCCAAAAGCCTCTCGTCAGGTGGGTAAAACTAGAAGATCCCGCAAGAAGTTTGCATGAAGGAGATGCACCAGTTATTCCAATGACGCAAGTCAATCAGCTTCCAACCGCTATAGCTATTCAGCGTAGGTGTAACCGGCATTCAGTACTTTTAAGTGAAGTAAATTTCAATAAGCAGAAGACGATACCGTACCCTTGTAGCATTGAATAATTTATGGAACCATGGCTAAGGGATGGGCATTATACTTCGTGTCGACACACTTGCTGAAGAGTCTACTTAGTAAACAGACATCCAGTCGACTTGATCAAACCATTCTCAGTTTTCAAGAAATAATGAAGACTCTCCTGAACCGTCTAGAAACAAACAAATCTCTGGTTATCATCAAAAGACGCCTATATAGCATGAAAGTACTAAGCATTAGTATCTTCATTTGTAATCCTACAGAGACCCAACATCACTCCATTATTTCCATTGGAAGCCTCAGATATCATGGCATTGTCTTTGGTTTAATTAAATTCTTTTAAAGTGAGTAGGTTTTTAGTTTTAATTGAAATATTTAAAGGAGAAGCAAGTAGGACCTGTTCTATACCATAGGAGAAACATGACAGATACTTTGATAATTGGATAGTGAAAATTGCTCCCTAGCAGGTTAATAACAGCTTAACTAACCTAAAAATACTGTGAAATAAAGGCATTAAAATAGACACCACATAAGTGTGCTTAAGCGCAACAGCTGATTTAGATGCATAAAAGATGTTGAACCCAGTCCTACTGGTGTTTGTTTTCACGTTATACGGTGCAACATGTGTCAAATTTGCATAAAAATTGAACGAAGCTATGAATAGGCACAAGCGAGGTATTTACCTGATTGTCTCCTTTCTGGAATGACGACAGTAACATTCATGTGCATATTTTTGAACTTGCAGAGTGCGGTCTCGGCTGAAAGGGAAGAGAGGAGGAAAAAGGTTTTAGGTATACCCACTAGCTTACTTATTCCATTCAGAGGAGAGAAAAGAGCAGACTATGAGGGGTGCAGGACTTCCAAATGACTGCTTTTACGAAGGTTGGTTAATTAGGCTGCTCCATTTCAAATCTACGGTTCAGTACTACTAGCGCAGCTAGCAAAGCTGAGCGAAATTCCACAGACAATAAAAATTACATGTACAAGCAGAGGGATCATTTGTTAATGATGCTTATGTCATTTCGACCCCAAATCGTCAACAAGATTGCGGCTATTAATATTCCAACCACTGGGCATGTCTAAATGGTTTGCTCACGAAATGTGCGCAGAAGTCCATCAAAACAGAAAATAAGATTATAAACTCTGCAGCGACAAACTTAAGGGTGGTAGATTTGACAAGCATCCACACCAAATGGATTTGCATCGGGGTTAAATGATGACGTTCAGTTTTAGGTGTTCAAATCCTCCATAGTAAATAGGAATCACTAGCCACAATATAGGAGAACCGCGTTTTAGTATCTCTTTCCACAACTGCTTTGGCATTTGTTCATGGGGTATAGGCATGGTTTCTCAAAAAATAATACTTGACTCTTAAATGTAATTACAGTTGTAAAAACAAAAAAATAAAGATACAAGTTGGTACGGAGATTACTATATTTCAAGTGGCATTAAAAGCTTCTGAGGGACGAAATTTAGATGGACTTGCCCATAAAGTAAATTTTAGTTTGCTCCACCACATCCGCAGGCGGCAGCTGGTTGATCAGCACAGAAATGTCAATCAGTAGGTGGTGCGCGGGTGGCTTCAGGGAGCAGTCGACGAGGAGGTGGATAAGACTGAGGTGGTCAATCGGCTGTTGGCATGTTTTGTAAAAACTCACGTCGGTTGTCTGCAAGGAAGTGCACAAACCACTTCAGAAGTCCCTCCAAGACGGTCAATTTTACCTTGGTGCATCACACTGGACGCTTTTTTGCTGTGTAGGAGAGTCACGAGGTTAATGACCTTTCGAGCTAGAATACGTCTGCTGTATTATCCTCCGAATATGTGACAATGTTTTATTAAAACGGTGCGCATTATATGTCCCGTGTTTGTACTTAAAACTTCTATTACGATATCTAAACATTCACGTGTTATTAGCAATCACAGCAGCCATGATAAGGGATGTTTTCTAATTAACTCCTGTTTAACATAAACAGGCACCTTAACTTTCCATTCATTTTAAGGCAAGCCTCCTTACTATTATTTCCGGATGTGCCTGCAGAAATTCATTTTTCATTCGAATCATTTAAAACAGAAGCGTACCCTCAGCAGTAGAAACGTAGACGAACGAACAACGATATTTGATGTCAAGGCAACCAACGGAAATACTTAATTCTGGTTGTTTCTGGAATATTGCAATCGGAACAAATTGGCATGCAGGCATTATTCGCAATCGCAGCCGCCGCGATAACAAATGCAATACAATTGCATCCAGCTTAACACAATTTGAAGCACGGATTCCCAACATTTTAAATCTGTTTCCTTTATTGGAACCATTCAGTTAACCTAAATATTTCCAGACATGCGTACAGATATCCGTTTTGTCGTTAGAATAATTCAAAACGGGAGTGCGTCTTCAACCGTCGAAACGTAGACGAATGAAGAAGGAATGGCACAAATAGATTCATGGACGGACAGTTGATTTAAAAGCAGATAGCAGAAAAGTCAATTCGGATCTCTTTAGGGGTATTGCAACGCAACCAAAAGGCATAGGCACGTTTAAAAATACTCTATTCAGGTGTAGTCCATATTCCTCGATAGGCACAGTGCTCAAGGGAATAGGTCTTTCCCAAACTGCTCTTATTTTCTTTACCATAGAAGCGCATTGTCATAATTGGGCAAAGGAAGTTTTCGCGATGGCATCTGTTGATTAAAATAGTATTTCTTAATCGCTAAAGGTATTTGGAGCTTTTTACCCGCCCAGATTCCAAGTGAATTGATAAATAGAAAGAAGGAACATCGAGGTATAGAGCTACATGTGACCCATTAAATTTACTTTATGTCTCCTTGCGACGCTTAGTCGCTTTGGGCTATTTATGGAAGTTGCATGCACAGAAGAGAGGGAGGGGCGGGAGAGGGGATTGTGTGAGCAAAAAGTGAGAATCGCAATAAATTCGGGCATATAAATAAAAGATTGCTCAAACAAATGTGGGAGAACACATCTTCAAAGTTACTTTATTCACATTATTTAACTTTAAAAGGCTTGTTACTAACTAGATGTGAGCATGAAAAGGATAATTTTTTGCAGTTGAAAACAAAAGACGCGCAGAACCGATGGTCTGTGTCAGCTATAGCCAAGCAAAGATAACTATGCACATAAGTTTGTTTTGTACTTACTTTAAAATACTCAACGTTCAATGAAGTCTGGACTTCATGTACTTACTCATTTGAATCAACAGTGTAGTCATGGACGATACCGCACTGTTGCCCATCCATCTACGCATACGCCATCACCATTTAAGCTAATGACTCACTCCTCTACTTCCTTGACTTATTTGTCCCCATAGTAGACACCTTTTAGTTAGAAGCCTACACAATGTAGGCAGAGATGCAATTATGAATAAAGAAGGCGGAAGTTGACGCCCTTTTTTCTTGAACTTTTTACCCATATTGTACACAAAACGGTGCACGCATCCCAAGGGCCATCATCAGTGAATAAATGTGGAGGTGAAGAAATAAAACAGTGAAGGGTGGTGAAGTCCCTGCTTGAGATCATTCTACCGTAAGCAAACTTACAAAATTAGACCTTTAAAAATTTCCCTTATGCATTCCTGCTATTGTTGTTTGCAGACCCAATTTAGGCCTCTGCATCCTGAAACTCGACCGCTGAATGGAACCCAAAATCTGCGCATATTTGCATGCAATTGCCACAAAGACGCACGTCAACCACTTTTTCCTTCTTAAAGGTTGAACATTGGTGCGGTGCATGTTTCAGCGCAAAGGTAAACAATGTAACTGATTCTAAATTCAGGCATCCTCCCCAAAATGCTGGCCCCTCAAGTGACTGACCTGCGCTTAAACGTGGGGTCGCGATGATGCACATTAATGTCTGCAGAACAGGAGGAATTACTTAAAAACTAAAACGAGTGCAATAAAATAGATATATTACACGTCATGAAAGTGGTTATTATTAGTAAAGGATTATCCTATCCGGTCCAACCGCTATTCATCTCGATCTAGATCATTTAGTCACTTCGGCAGCCACTGCAGTTTGCATTCATTCATTCAACTAAATAACAAAGCCATCATGGAGTAGGGTAACAAGGCGACCGCTCCCCATTAATGTAGAGTCGCATGATCGGAAAGACCGCAGGATAAGCGCGTGTTTTATGCGATTAAGACGTGATTCCGAGTACCGAATTCAGACGTCTCTTCCTATAACTAGTAAACAATTCCAAACATCAAAGCCCATCAAGCATTGTGGGAACGAGCAATCATTTGGAATAAATTTAAATTTCGGTTAGATAGCTGCCACCACCTGTCATTCGATCAGGAAACAAGCAGCGATTTAAAATGTGTACACAAATGTTGCTTAAAAAAGGGGTAGTACGAGAAACTTACCCAGTACACTTTATTAGTAGGAGGCACTCGATTTGGACAGATAAAGGCAATCTGGTCATCAACTGATACACGTAGATCTTTTGGAGTGTTTACTCGAAACCTGTTTTTAAAAAAAATTAGGATTCAATAAAGACAAGTTAACAGTAGAGTAGTTGATTAACGGCCGCCAAGTCATTCGTGTGAACAATGTCTCCCATGGCTCATTTAATCTTTAATATCTTAAACTACGATATTACGAATTTATGAAAAGCACAGTGGATGGGGATCACCGCAACCAAGATAAAAATGCGTTTTATGTTTAAAACGTTGAGTTTTATCAGAAGAAAGTGGTGGTTATCAGGGAGGAAATTCGTAGTGATGACAGTATATTCATCATGGTCAACCGCAGTCTACAGGGACTGGTCCGTAAGTTTTGACAGCGCAGCTCTTGCTGCTTGATGTGCGCGAGGTGTTTCCACCGTCTCAAATTAGTCCCATCTCCTCCATTGCACCAAATTCATTTACAAATAAACGTGCATCATCACTCTCCCAGACCCATCAGATTAACCTCAACGTTTCCAGCAATAAATACCTTGGCCGTTATTCCAATGATGACATGTAGTATTTAATGCTGTTTGCTTAAACTAAGACAGGTGTGCTTTAGCATCATAAGTAAGGCTTCATTTCTGGCATTTTGCGAGCTTCTCCAATCGTAAATCAGAGTAGGAAGTATTTTAACCAACTTTTATTGCCAATTTAAATGTCATTTCCCCTATTAAATCAGTCAGTATATTTCAAAATGCCTCACACTTGTTCCTTCAAAACAGATAAAAAGGGCTTTTAAGCACAACGACACAACCCGGGCAAGCACTGCATGTTTTGGACTTTCAGCACTGACTGCAACACAATTTAATGTAAATTTGTCGATGGAGTCAAACTTTTTGTAAAATAGAAATTCTACAACTGTTTTGTGTTTGCAATATCCAGATGACGGTCAGCACTACCCCTATCTTGTGGAGTGAAAATCGTTTGGAAGCGATTGCAGAATCTGAATGGTCCAGTCACGGATGCGAGGTTACACCAAGTAAGGCTCAATAAAGTTGCCTCATTTTTAAGCAAACGCTAAAATGCCAAATGCACCGGGGAGGATTAAGTGATTTTCCTCAAGGTGTCACCACATTGCACCCGCAAAAGTAACGAATTGCGAAGTAAGTCAAATAAATGCACCCTGACTGATGTAATTTCACTGTGAGACTGTAAAAATACACGTAAATTTAATAAAATTTGGTATTAAAGTTTGCAGCGAATGATTTATGCTGGAGCGATAGAAGCCTCCTCCAATTTTGCCGCAAGACGTAAAAAGTCACGCATTCACTAAATAGTCGTACATCCACATTTTCTTGGTTCACTACTTCTTTCAAATTACTTAAAGTATTCGTTACTATCGGGATCTTGTTTTACGAATTTGCTGAGAACATCGGAGGTGCAGCGGGTGCGTGAACTACCGACCTTCTGCTTTAATCGACTATTGTGTTTTAGAGATTACATAAAACCTTGATCACAAAAGTGGAAAAAAATACTTTCTTACCCGAACTTATTCGCAATTCCATCTGGTCATGCCCTATGACCTCAGTACTTCAAAAATAAACTCTACGTGGTATCTGAAGCCTATCGCCTAAGCAACAGTGATCGTCCTATGTAGAACCTGCTTGGTCTGACCCTAATCTGCCTCTAGTCGTTACTAAAAAAGTATATTAGGAGCATAAAAGGTGCTTTTCAGACATTTTATTAAGTAATTATAGAAAACAAACCATGCTCATTGCTGATCAGAATAATTTTTTGCTGATATTATCAAGAAACCTCCAGAATGGTTCACTCAAGTAAAACGATTTCGATAATTTTTAATTTAAAGAATTAAGTTTTTGTCTATTAATTTTGTTAAATTGCATTAAACTGGCAGAAAAGTGGGCAAAGCTGCAGTGACTTTGTTGTGTTGATGATTATCATTGGCTCCATTGTGTATGCCAACGATTTTAGGCCAGGCCGACGCGATGATGAAACGCGGTGCCCCCTTCGGCGTGTCTGTAATACCGAGACGTAACAAAAGCCTCGCTTTTTAACGCTTTACTAGATGATGTGGCTCAGAAGTTAACCCAAAATTTGTAGGTTAAAAATGATATACTAGTTTACTACTTTCCTATAAATTATGCTGCAGCAAAGTTCAAAGGGGATTGTAAAAAAAGGATTGGAGGTATTAAAGTGGAGCTACGCGCACATCTATAATCAGATCCATGAAAAGCTGGTATAATTCTTTTCAATAAAATTAACGAATTATCGAATAATAAATACTTTTGATAAAAGTGGTTGTTCTGCCCTACGAGTATTTCATCGTTTTACCAGCGTGGGGTTTGGCCGCACACTGGGAAGCAAAACAGCAGGACTAGAAAAGCTGCAAGTAAATGATTACGCTTGTGGGCGCAGTAAAATCTCACTTCACACATACATTTTCTTGGTAATAACTGGGGTTAGCAGAGTCACTAAAATATAAATGATTGCATTTCCTACCGTAGTTTCGTTTGTTTAAATCGCTTAACAAAGTGATACAAAACGCTTTTTTCCACTGTAGAATTTGACGCATATTTGGAGCTAATGATCCCGCATTTAACTTAGTACATAAATGACAGAACAAAGAAGGGGAAATCTAGGAGTGCGTGAATTTCTCGCGTGCCTGAGATGCGTGCACATTATCGTTTCAGCGTGGACCATCAGTCAAACGGCTTGACTTCGGTAGGGCTTCAGTGGAAGAAGCTGATTGCGAAGGCAGAGAATATACATATTTTTTGCCATCCTACTTCGACGGAAATCACAACCCTATTTCTAGTGATCGAAGCGACTGGGGTTGAGTTAAAGTGTTCACGAATTTAATGGAAAACCAGCTCAATTCAATGACCAATGAAAAAGCACAATTACCAACAAAAACGGCTGTTTTTTGTGTTAAAAGGCCTTTGTTGGAGCTAATAATTCATCATTACATGTATAATCTTTTCATTTCATGAATGATATATAAGTTTAGGGGTAGATACCCACGTTGCCATGATATCAGGCTTTTTTTGGTGACTTTGGATTTCGGTGGACAAACTATGACATTGACTACGGACAATTTGCCACAGAGCAGAGCTGATGTTTGACTGACGGATACTGGAGCCAGCGTTCACGACTGTCCATTAGGTATGTAACGAGGCCGCGGTAGCGCCTATCTCCTTACCCGGGTTAATTAATCAAGCACTCAAAGAAATAGGTAGCCACACAAATGCAACGAAACACTCTGAAAAAGCTTGAAGAAAACTGCCAAATTTTGTTATTTGCTATACCATAGGCTGAAATATAAAGGAGAACTATCTATATGTTCCTTGGGAGACCATCTGCATAGGTTTGACTTTGTTCACAGTAAGCTAATTAGTTTTTATAATGCGACCAGTTATTAAGTATCTAGTTGTGATCTCTGCGACTAGAAATTCGCGTATCTTTCACCCATTATTTGCTACAAATACTGGATACTATTTGAAAACTCTATGATTAATGCTTAGCTTAGAATCGCATTATGCTGAACAATCTGCAATGTCAATTTGTTTATGGCCAACTTATCCGGGCTTCAATATCCTAAGTGCAAGTTCTCGATGGAATACTTTTGCAGTGAAATGAATCGATTATGATGCATTGTATTCACTGGGAAAGGCATTGAGACGGACTGGAAAATCTTGTACTTACAACGGATTGGATGTATTCCAATAAACGAGATGCATTTTCCTAGCATCAGACAATATAAATCCCGGATTAATGAGGACGGCAGGCAGGAGAATAATCCCTACAGCAACAACTCCAAAATCCTGTGGGTGGTAAAGGATGTGCCTCCAGAGCATTCCGAGCATGAGATCAAAAGGTCAGAAGAGGTAGCAACGGCAGTAGCAGCAGCGGCGAGGGTAACGCCATGGCCACGTTGAAACACGCACACACAGAGAGGAGAGATACTGTTTACCGATTTTGCTGCCCAGCTGTGAAACAGCTGCCTGATGCACTTCTTGTGGAACGACAAAGAGGCGGAGGAGGCGTGCTGGCTCCTTCGTTTCTTTGCCTGCGCGCACGCCTGTGCGTATGGGCGGAAAAAATGCAGGAGTTACATAGCTGTCACGACTGGCCAATCACAGCGCAGCTGGGGATAGCTTGCAGTTTATTGGTTAATGGACTAGTGGGCGAAGTCAGACGGCCGGATTCACCGGGTGTTACTATTCAGCAGCGGGGGTTAAAAAGTCTCCCATAAATGAATTGTTGCAAATTCTCGGCCCGACTTTACTTCATATAAGACCACACATAGCATAGCCGGTGGATTTTATTGGAACGTGGTTTATCCCACAAATTAACGTAATTTGGATTAATATTGAAATTCCATGATCTATTGAAGCAAATCTTTAAAGAATTTCGAATGGCGTAGAGGATCGCTGCTGGAATAAATGGAATTAATAGAGGCTAGAGCAATTATTCTTAGTCCAACTTATGCAATTTTTATCGACACCATCTGGTCGAAATACCCCGGCTCTCGCGTAATTAATTATACCGAAATCGCCTTCATGGCCTTAAGTTATTACCACTTTTCGAGAAAAAGTCCACTTCCCCCTCATTTAATGGTTTCAACATTGCAACCACAGGTAATGGATTGAGATTTAATACCCCTTGTTGAATAATTAAAAAGGATTCAGTAGACCATTTACCATTTGAATGTAGTGAGGAGCCCACTAAAGAAATGTTATATCTTATTTTGTCACAAATAAGACACCATGGGGCCAAAAACATTTGTGAAAAGGTATACAGTAGAGTAATCACCTCTTCATTTAAAGGCTTGCTAGAGGTTTAGACTTTTTATCGCATTGCCGAATCTAATTAAAAACCTTTTAACCAGTGAGAAGTTGCAGATAGAAGCATTATCTTCAGAGGAGTGTGGAGCCTATATTAACGGATCCAAGATAAATTAGATGGATCATTCTTTCGGGATGCTGCTATTTTCAGCCTTCGTGTGTCTGGTTTTTCGCATGCATTTCATTCTGACCCCCTTATGGTAGAGTGACATTTTGAAGTTTGTTATTTGTTATTGTGATTATTTCTCGAAAAACCAAAAAAACATTTTACGTGCGCATTCATTTATTCATTCACGGTGTACGCCATCGTTCCGATTTAGAGAGCCTACTCGATCCGATGAGGTCCATGCTTTCGCCCTTAAACTTCCCCATTGCAAACTGAGTAATCTGCTTCGGACTAATAATTTTGCTGTTTTGAAAAAAAATGCTCAAAATGGCTTCTTTTGGTATAAATTTTTAATGTCATGAAGGAATTCAGATGTAAATTACGCCTCTAAATGCCAATTCACCGGAAAATCCCCTTTACTAAATACCTTTAAGTACATAAGAATTTGGATTAAATGAGCATGACGAGGACTAATATTTCTGGAGGACGAAATTTAACACAAATGCATTGTTTGTAGTAGATTTTGAGTTGCGAAGATGCAAGAACTAGTTCCAATAATTAAGTCAAATCATTTCGGTCATTCAAGCATTTGAAAGGCTCCGATAATTCAACTCTCGAATTCCATGGACGTTCTCCAGCCTACCGATGGCTTATAAACTGAACTACTTACACTCTTTAAAAATAATTACAACTCAACAATCTCACAGTTCCCACACTTCCTTTCCTTTGATATTTACGTAATACTTAAGGAAGTCGGGAAAGTAGTTTGCTTTCGTGGCTAAAAGTCGTTATATAAACCAATGGATGATATACCTAAAAGTGGGAACTTCTTTGTGCGTTTCTCGGACGCTGCGACCGCTCCATCACTTTGCTGGTTCTCAAATTGTAGCGCAAGATGAGACTGATATGTGGGTGTTCTCTCATAAGAAGACTTTTCCCAGAGCCTTGCCGCTTTGGAGCATAGTTATCTAAAACGTTAGCATCGGAGATTAGTGAAGGCGTAATCTTGGGGAATCGGAACAAAGCTAAGAAACTGGTAATAAAAATCTAAGAAGTCCTTTTGCCTCATTTTCTGCTGCAATGGGTGGAATCCCCATTTTATTAACTTGTGGGTTGTCATTTAAGAACGGATGACATTATAAGTACTCTAATGCTACATTCATCTCAAGTAAACAATGGAGAGAGATTGTTTAAATAGGAGTACTTTAGCTGTGCAATCGTAAGGCTAAGCAACCTTTCTTCAAAAGACATCACTTTGCCTCACCATAAATATTCATTAACCTGCACTACATCCATTTCTTGGCAAAACGAATTTCGTGAGGTAATGTGATTAACAAATATCCCTGTCCAACATATCCACCTGCACAGAACACAACCTGAAAGGTTTTAGTAGCAGAGAATTACATCGGGTTAGATTTTATGCAAAGATCTCACAAATTTTGTGCCAGAAAAACCGGTGACTTTCAGGGAAGGAGAAGTAACAATGCCATATCCTATGAACGACTGTTAAAAACAAAAAATAATGTTAACAATTGGACTGCTTTCTGATGCACCGGAAATTCGGCCAAGATAGAGATCATAACCCAATTCTCTCTAATACGGTCATTAAGGTGAAATACAAGTGCATCCAACATTTGTAAACCTCGTTTTATTAAGGATGAAAACTGCCTACTAACCTTTGTTCCAACCGCTAGAAGCGGGTTACTTTGAGGTGAGGATATGAAAAAGGCGGTGAGTTGACGACAGAAAGCATGGGGATGTGATTCGTTGGCGAGGTGTGATGAGCGTTCTGCCAGAGTTGAAGGTGAAACCCTAAACTCCTTCTTCTATTCCATCTCCAAACGAGCAGATGACTATCTCGGCTAGACATCCACGAGAAGGAATGCTCTGTGCTTACCAACTTCGTAAGTTGTTTGTAGTTAAGCAAAGCAGCAGTCTGCCGACTACATCTGATATTTTTTGAACTTCCAACTCAAAACATCTGAGTATAAGTCCGTATTGTGCAACCATAAAATAAGAACTGTGAACACGGTGTTTAATCAGACACCAAGAACAAAAGTTCTTTTTTAAGACCAGAAATTTGTCATCTACCATGTTCGCTTCCAATTGAATCTGGCCGAGTCAAAGCAGGGAACTTAATGAAATCCCCTTAGACATCAATCCTTCTTAAAGGTTTATTTCGTCCAGCGGAGGAATGCTCTTTATTATCTTAGGACTACAGACAATTACTTTAATGTAACCATCGCATTTTGATGAATTCTTATCATTCTTTCAATCCGAATGTAAAATAAAAAAAGGGTAACAGGTGACCCATTCTCTCAGTAGAGTTTACAAGACTATTTAGTGGCACACGTTGTGTAAATAATGCGAATGCCCACAGCACATGAGGATTTTTACTGGAAATTTGGAAGTACATTTGTTTTTTTTAATTATGCTACTAAAGAGTAAAAGACAGCTTACAATAAACCAATTTATATTGACCTTATCACCAGGTATGAGATTTGACACCTGTGCTAATAATGAATGTCTGTGGCAACAGAAAATTAGCATGTAGGCCAGAATCAGCTTGTGACTTGAAATGTCATGCTCAAGCTATGCTGCGGCTGACTGTACGGAAGTGGCTATGGTTGAAAATGGCATACCACTTTCCTCATCACACCTTAATCACCAAATGACCGCACTAAGTAGTGTATTCAGCTCCGCACCATGGTTTAGGTCATGAAATGTTCCCATAAAATGGTTTGTTTTTTAAAGTAATAAGGTGTACTGTCTGATAGGCGTAAAAGAATCCGTCACCTAACTTGCCTACGTGTTCTTTATGTAGGCTACCTAACCGCAGCTTCTGGATGTTGAGGGCGAAATCTAATTTGTTTAACCTAAGCAAGTGAATTTACCGACTAATTGAACAATGAGTGAGCATTTTTTAATAGCTGCTTTAGAGCACCGAGCCTTTGCTGAAGATGGAAGGAGACGCAAAACTTGACGCAACATGTATCGCCGAAGTGCAGAAGAGATGAAGCGGAGGGTGGGGGGGCGGCTGTTGGTATAGCTTGGAGGTTACGTCACTCAGCAAGGAGAGTAAAAGAGAAACCTTAAGGACCCTCGAACCAAACCATACACTTGTATAGCCAGCTGAAGCATTACACTTTTGGCTTGCCTGATGCTGAAACTCGAACTATTCCGAGTTATTTCCTTTTTACAGGAAAAACAGGCAAAATTATAAGGGAACTCTCCACAAAATTCTGTTATCAGGCATCATCAAACATTTTAGGCAGTTAATTCAAAAATTTTGTTTTGCTTTTTTGTGTGGACGAACAAAAACCCGTTTACTGCTGCGCCTACAAAGAAGCTGTGCCGATGCTTTGCGCCTGGAAGGGATGGAAAAGAAAAAGATACTCTCTGTTATGCAGCAAATCCGATGCATTTCCGTTTTTCATCCATGTTTTATGCTCTGCACTGATTACTGTGTTATCCGGTAATTAGAATAGCTGTGTATGGTCATATTTTTGTAAATTTCTTCCATAAATGAACGCAATTCATTTATTTGCTAGCAAAGAAACATCCTCAATGAATACGTGAGCCCTCACTTAAAGCTTTCTTACAACTTTAATAACTGCGCACTCAGAATTATTTTAAGTTTAATTGAAAGGTTATTTTTCAACCATTTCTTAGCAAGAGTGGATACTGTGGTTTCGCATCTTAGAATTATTTCCAAAAGATAGGCATCCGGGCAAGAAACCGATCTACTTCACCTGGGGAAAACGAGCATTTGCGCTTTGAGGAAAATTAGCTCAGAAGAAATAAATAACAACGCCTAACTAACTACTTACGTATCTTTTTTTCCCAGATTATCTCATGGCTTAACACCGCCATTTTCTGTTCCCTTCCTCGCATTCTCTGTCGGGAATTCCAAAAATTAAGTCGAGGAAACTTCAAATCAAGGTTTCAGTCATAGTTAGTGTGATTTTACCTTGCAAAATATCGTTGCCATTTCCCATTCTTATGATCACTAACAGTTTGATTAAAGTGTCTTAACGCTTCATTTTCTTGTCAGCGCTGTAATGAATTCTTCTAAATCTTACAATTAATTGATTGGGGAGACTCTATTGGTGAGTAAAGAAGTTTCGTCCCAAATAATATTGTACCAAATACCTAAAAAAGCAAAGATTAAGCATTCGTTTATCACGATATAGTCCTTTCGGGCAATGATAATGTTTTTTCCCGGTTTAAATAAGCAAACACGGATGCGCTGTGGTGTGGGCAAGCACGCAAACGATAGAGCGATAAGCCTCAAAACTCCAGTTTACGATTAACTGCACTAACCACTCGCCAAATGCAGTATGACGCAATCCTCATGCGCATTGTTGTCTTTCACATTTAGAGCGACATTTCTTAATGCATGAGGAAAGATGTACACTCCGCTTAGAGTTTGAGGGCAAACGGTTTTTGATGGAGTGACAGTGACAGTACCACGCGTTTTGTAAGTCGTGCGTTCTTTCCCCATCTGATAAGATTGAGCAACTATTCACGGATGTACTGTCTCCACCACTTTTGAATAGTTGAGCCTTGTCTGCCTAGGCGAGACTGAACATTGACGACATTGTAGGCCAAGCGAATTTTTGGCCTACAATTAATAAGATCTTCGAAACTGTAACTGAATTTGCTTTAACATTATTAGCCAAGTCATTTCTTAAACCACTACTTTAATGTCAGTGTAGCGGATTCGAAGGTCCAATAATAAACTTGTCTTTCTCTTCTAATTTGCGATAATAAAATCAGATCGTGAGAATCCAGCGAAACTTTAGCAACTTGCATATTCTGGTTGCATACTTACTTTTCCAAAATGCGATTTGACGGTGTACTTTTCTGGAGGCTGTGGGCTCGAGGCGAGGCGAGAGTAGGACCTCATTTAATTAAGCCGCAACAGAGCATAACACAATCGCTTTTATGGCATTCGCTTGGCTACGGTGTGCCAATCCGTTGAGCCTTCATTCGCACGGCCGAGGACTTACTTATGCAATTAATGTGGACGAATCTGTCTTTTTCGTAGCATTCGCCCATTCCATTAATGAAAACGCCCAGGCAATAGAAGCCCATCACGGTGAATAAGAAAGCGCTTTTTAGTTATAAGGATGCTAATTGGGTAATCCATTTTGCAGTTCAGGTGAAACCACCCATCTTCGATACGCAAATACTGTGTTAGGGAAAATTTGTGATGGACAATTTATTTGGAAAGTTAAACATTACCCATTTTCAAAAAGTTTAGAAAAGTACGGTTTAATTTTAATCCATCTTTTATTTTTAACTTCAAACGGAAGTGATTCATTGCGATTGATTGTGTATATGCGTCTCTAGTTGTGTTTTGCATGAGCGATCAGTTTCAACAATGAGGGTAAATCAGAAAAGTGGAAAAATAAAAATGGTTTAGAAACGCATTGCGGCTGAATTGGTTCATTGTAGCTTATACGCTAAGTAAGCAAAATAAACTATTGCTGGCTACTTTCTAGTCGGTATGCATGATAAACATTCCACGCACCGTAAAACAGGAAGCAAATTTTCAAAATTACACAAAACTGTGATTCGTTTTTATGCTCTACGAAAGTGGCGGAGATCGTGGTTGAGTTGTGCGCTACACCAGTCATTGAAGACACGTCAATATGAAAGGAGTTGCTTTGTGAGATTTTTACTTTTGAATACTATTATGCTGGTCTTAAAATCCCCTCTCTCCTTTTACTGCTTCCTACTATAAATGTGGATTTCGAGTGGGGAACAATTTTGAGTTACAATGAAGTTGGTGCTGCTAACTAAATAGGAATTTCTAGATTCGTTGCAAACATTTACATTACAGCAAAGGCAATACGCGTCGGATTGTAAGGAAATGATTAAGTTGAAATAAGAGAGAAAAACGTGATAACTTTGTATTTTTAATTTCTATTTTCTCCACATGGCTTCAATTCACTCCACCGCAGGCGCAAATCAGGGTTGCATCTTAATTTGGACATTGAGGAGTATATTTCTGCCGTTCCCAGCTGCCATATAATACAGGCGTGAGAATTCCTATTCTTTCCTTTTCAGTCTCCCTTCACGTATCGTTTTCCATTCCCGGTGGCACTACTATCGTTGAAGGATTCTGCTGTTGTTTACGTAAAGGTGCCTGCAGACTCCTGCCTCTGGGACATCTGCCAACAGCTGTTCCTATAGCAGCGGTCTAACTGGTAGTGCCTGGGCAACTAATAGTACCTTCACTTTTATACTCACCGGTGGCAATAAGAAATATTTTAATAATTACGAAATGCCCAACTTTTTAACTAACATCGTAAAATTTCACCAAACACTTCTGAATTATTTACTGCAGCAGACGGAAGTAGCAACAACAAGCGGATGGTGAAGTGCAAAAACTGCAAAAGCGCTTCCAAATTTAGTCAGAAATCACCTAAGCTTAAAATTAATGAATTCTCCGGAGCAGGAGGTCTGCACAACCAATAGCATTATAGAGCTTTAAAATCTGCGCTACCTTATTTAATTACTATATGAACAAAGTTAATCGCGCACCATTCCTAAAGTACACCTCTATGGCCGTTTTAACAATGCGCCGGACCAATTGAGCAAATAAGTATTTTAATTGCATGGTAAGCGGATTAGTTAGGTACCTTGCCTCACCACAACGTCCTGGCTACAAAGCGGCTCTCTGCAAAGCTAAATCAGGCAGTTTTTGCAGCATATTTCAAAAGGAGCTTACACTTCCCCTCTGCTACTACCGATGGTGACTTCTTTTTCTCTTCTTCTGGACGCGTAAGACCAACGGTGAGTGATGATCCGAAGCCTGTCCACGAACAAGGCAAGATGCGAGGCGGTAAGGTATAAAAGGTAAAAATAGCGCATCTTGTGCTTCATTTTTATTTTACGTAAAGGGGTAGCCAAAAAATCCACCTCACCTCCTAAAGTGTGATGAAAGCGAAAGATAAGAAATGCAAAAATAACACAAAGATGGTCCACCTATGAGAAACTCGACACCTTCAAGTATTATGCTTTCAAAGATTATTTATATTTTTTTGCAAGTTCTTCAGTGCCTAAATATATACAAGTACCTTAACTTTTTTCACCTAATTCTTCCCAACTCCATTTCAAGATGTCAGTTGGGCTTAATTAAAAGCAAATAAAATTAACTTCCCTTTGAACGATTCACTGTACTTGGAATGGCCAAGTAGGTAAGTACGAAGTTAGTAACAGTGGGATGAGTGGATAGGTCTTGCCAGGACTGTGTTTATTTATATAAATCCAAATGTAGAATGAAAATGTGGAAAAGTTTGGATAGAAAATTACAAATTCTGGCCATAATACTTATACAAAAAAGCCATTTTACAAAATTTTACCAAACCGGATCATTTGTGACATAAGTAAATGAGCAAACGTACTTCTTAAAAAATTCTGCGCTATTTGCGTTCCATCTTCGCCAAGACCTTATCTCGAGGGCTACTTATGTACTATAGGACAATCCTACATTGAAAAAGGGGTATCCTTTTGTTGGACTGAAGCGCCTTCTTTTTATCACACTAGAGGTGGGTGTACAGCCACTGAATATGAAATAAAATCCAAACTTCTTTTGCGTCATTATGTTGATGTACGGCATTAGAATACCCCGATTTTCGAGCCTAGCTAAGCACATTTTTAAATCATGGATTTCTTGAAAGAGGAGTTAATATCTAATTCATTCACAAATATGCACATTGCACTAATTCATTTGAAGCACCTTCCAATGGCTTCAAAAAGATTCGTCGACCATGGGGAAATTGCAGCCACTGCGCCATAAATGAACCAAATATTATTTCGAGAAGTAGCTGAATTAGAGTATTAAAAATACTGCCTTGAGAGGTGATATATATTCAGTGACTGCTGACGGGCAACACAGCGAAAGCCTTCGAAAATAAGTGAATCTCTCCTACGTTACTGATTGGCTAACTTGTGAGAGAGCCGACACGGGCATTGGTCGGTCGTTGTGTAACCTACTCGTAAAATGCATTTAACATAAAGAGGGTGATCAATTTAACCTCCACGGAAATAACGTTTATTCACGTCCTGACTATGAATTAGTAACTGATTTTCGTAATAATGAACACAACAGCTTTTGCATTAACCACCTACAATAGCAGTCATCAGGCCGTACACACCTCCTCGGCGTGCGAATTTACAACATTCGAATTTGTAGGCTATTTCTACATTCTCACAATAGTCTGCTTCATTGGATGCATTTTAAACCTTATAAATATCATCGTTTTTGCTCAGAAGTGCTTCCGTGCAACGGTTTATACGTACATGTTAGCCATCTCTCTAACGGATGCGATCGCTCTCTTAGTGAATCTGCCAACAGGTCTTGGAAGGTAAGCTTCGCCTCATCTATGTATTTATACCCAACTCTTTTTGGTGTGGTTTAACCCTACAAACATCAGGTTCGATTGCAGAGGTTGAGCCGCCTCCTTGTTCTTTCATCTAGCTTCTATTTACCTAAGAACACCAAAATCTCAGTTGAATGGTGCACCTAAATAGCTTACAATGCTTTCAGTGAACTTAAGGGTTTGGTCCGCGTTGCAGAGGGCATTTTTTGCCAAATTAAACCAAAACTTTCAACTATGATTGAAAATTTGTATACTTGGAGAGATTATGGAGTACATAGGCCAAGGGTAATAAAGGAGTGTTTCGGGTGGTCCTCATAACCTTAGTACTCCTGTCCACCTAAATTTGATTTCACTTGACATATTTGTTTCAGAGTACAAATGTCTGACAATAGGTAAATGTCAATAAAATTTTAAAAAAGAACTACTTCCTTCATCCTTTTTTTATCTAATTTGTAAGTGAAAAAGGTATTTTGTCCTTTTTCCCTTGTCATGATTTAAAAGAGTTTTTAGAGTCCTAAAAAATCTTTTATTGACCACTGAAGAAAGTAGCGTCTAAACTAAGAAAGTAGATTTCGTGGTACGAGGGCTTACTTTTGGCATTTCCTTCCTCCCTGATTGCTTCAATAAATCATCCCCAAGAGGAGAACGGACATTCCATTAATTAGGTTGAGAAACTACATCACAGCACCGAGGCTACAGGGATCAGAATTGCTCATGCTGACAAAATCGGCACAAATTCGGGAGTTGCGAATGAAGTTTCAGTGTACTTTAAGAATTCAAAAGGCGTTTTGTCGTGATGTACGTAACCAGGGAAGAAATAGCTAAAATAATTCATGAAAAAGCAAACTGCTTCAGAGTACTTTCCCCAAATACTTCTAAATGTTAACTTCTTTCAAAATAAGACTGTTTTCTAGCTAGTACGGTCACAGATACTAAACATTGCAGCTCTATCCCTCTCCCTCCCCCTAATTGTACCTAGGTGACCACGGTCTCCTCCTTGACCATTCATTAAACGAATTTAGAACATGCCGCAAATAAGTGGTATTTCTCTTTTACAAGAAAAGAAGCATCAATTAGACAGTTTTGTTACCATAGACTGGAAAATATCATAAACCACTTTTACATGCAAATCTTTCAACTGCCATTGATTAAAGCATCACCTTTTAACTCTTTTATGGGCCACTTTGCTAACTACCGTCTAGGGATTATGCAAGTATGCGAGAAGTCATGTGGAAAGTAAAGCCCTGTTTTTAAGCAAAAAAATGATGCATAAGTTTCTTACACTTAGGATTCCTTAGGATTCCAACTTTCAGCGGTTGAGCGTAAAGCTAGAATGAAGAGTGCGGAGTAGTATTTTCTGCCTTCTCCACATGTCAAGTGATAGTTGACCTAAGTCTGAGTAGTATGTAAAGGCACCTGCTACTGGCTATCCCATGATCATACCAACTTCGTTCGGTACAATGACGAAAGGCATTTGAAATGTTGAGTGAATGCAGCGCTGACCGGTCCTCTTTTTATTATTACCTGAAGTCTAATACCTTAAGCAGTCACGACATTTCTTGGTTCTTTTGACGACGTAAACGCATATATTTCACCTATGTACTGACTCAGAGCGCTTTCAAAGGATGCGAAGTAATGAGCTACGACAAACGTACCTCACAAACGCAGAGAATTCATGATTATGTCGAATGGTGTTATAGTGGCCGACTGTGCGGCAACAGTTGTTGTAAATATAGATAATAAAACCATCGCCTTTGACCCAGGAAGAGGGGGATGGACGAAGTAACTACAGCTTTCTGAGAAATGCACAGAAATTATTCAGGTATGAGCGAGCAACCACATGAAAGCTGCATCGCTTTAACGGCTATATTTTTTGGGTTTTGAGCAGACAAACCTTTGCCTACCTTTTCAACTTTTTCCAAAAATATCGCGTCTGAGGGAAACACTTATTCAGATGAGCATTTTAGAGAAAAATGTATGTAACAGTGCTTCTAAATTTACAATCATAAGTCATTATGAGTAACTACCACTTTCTACAATCGCGGTTTCTCTTAGAGCTGAAAAAGTATATTGCCATTGGGTCCTATTGCAGATTTTATCTTTTATTCGGCTTTTATATAGTTAATAAACCCAACAATACGTGTCTTTAATTATTCTTATTTAAGACTCAAGGAGGAAATTTGTGATGTAACAGAATTTTTGGTTGAAGTAATGTATGCCTCAACTATGCAATAACCTACCATTACTCACCAACTAACAGCAGCATATCAAATTTCAATCTCCTTGCCATTTTTTAATTTTTTTCCTCTGCCACACATGGTAGAGTACCGGTGGCAAGACTTACACTTTGCCTTAATCTTTTTTAATTGAGATTAATGCTTAAAATTTTGCCTGTTTAGTTACCCTTTACCCGAGGTGCGTCAAAATTTCAGGGCAAAATCTCCCTTTAAGTGACCTCCAGGCAAAACTCACAATTTGTATTTAAGGCCAAAATTTTGACTCCTTTAGTTGTGTGAACAATCGTCTGGGTTTTACTACGGTGATTTCCAGACAGATGCGTGTTTCTAAGACTAGAATATTCTCAAGCGATGTCCACAAGCGTATGCATGCTTCATTCTTAATTCATAACACATCTGAGTTCACTTAGCCAGTCTCTGTGTTTGTATGTGACAATTTCCGACCAAAGGGAAAAGACTTGTCCACATCTTTTGACTGCCCTCTCCAGCTTAGTCACATTGCATTCCCGAAGGTTGTTGTGTCGCTTTCTATTTGCATAGATAATGGTAGGCAACGTCTTTATAAAGAACTGTTGCTTGCATTATTCACCACGCTTCTGCATTAGCGCCTTCTTACATCACCTTAGTGACTTTAAACCTTATTGCAGCGAATATTTGCCAAAAACACTACTTTTATACATAAGTCTTGCATGGATGCCACTCAGTTATTCACTTTCTTTAAGCAAAATGTTAAAATAAATCATATAATTAATCTCAATTAATAAAGCAGACAACGACAGAACCCATAGGAGTGAAAATGTCCTTTTAAAACTTCGATACGTCAGGAAAGAGAAAGACAAATGCTGGATTACTGACACAGCCCCTAGCATTGGCCTTTCATCTGCACGGAGAGTGAAATGATATCTTTTAATAAAATAAAAAAGACCGAAATCTTTTTTTGTGCAAAGAATATGGGAAGTGGATGTGCAAATATTGAAGTTTTTAATATTCTGCAATAAATATACTCCATTAAAACTGCTGATCCCACATATATCCATTGTATGGTGAACAGCCGGATACAAGTGCTTAGTGAAGCATGTGCACATGCGTATTTTATGCATTAAATTAAAAAATTAATCATAGTAGGCTCGATGTTTAGCTCTTCCACCTCCGTCTCCATGCCCTTGGAACAAGTAGGCGGATTGGACGAGGACATGCTGCAATGGATTTCGATAATTAAAGGGGTACGGAGGTATCACCCTTTAAGCGTATTCAGGGACCGTTACGAGGTTCCTATTTAAGAAAACATGTATCACCTAATCACCGAAAACTAAGCATAGTTTTAGAATATAATACGCATTTTCCATGCGCCTAAACTTTATGTCCGGTTCAGGCGAAGTATGTTCCATGTTTGCTAGGCCACGAAATGTACGAGTCCCTGCCTAATAGACACTTATTTGAAGGAAGTGATTTATTTGCAAATGCTACGTTTTATGGTCAATGCTGCTCATGCTTTCACCTACTTTAAAAGGAATAGAGCTTTGTGACTTTATGTGTGCTTGTCAAAATGTGGCACAGGACCTTGATAACAAAGAAAAGGGTACCATCCAGAATGCAAACTTAAACGTGAGTCATTTTTGCAAGCAATCGTCCTATTATGCAATCCAAATTGTCACATCACCTCTATTTTTGCATCCGGGTGGTAAAGTAGTCCACACAATGCTAAGGTGGTATCATATTTCGTTCCACTATCAAAATTATTCGTCAAAAGACATGTTGATGATACCAGAGGCTGGCTAAATCTGTGGATACACCCGTTTACTTACCTTTCTTCTCTCCATGAGCCACTCGCTAAAAATTAATAGATTCGAACAGTACCTGCTTCTCACCAAATCACGGCCACTTTTCAATACATAACAATGACTTTTACAAAGTGCAATTTTAATTTTATCTTCCTGTATTTGGGACGAATAAAAGGCTCCTCAAATGACCTCATTTTATTCAGTAGTCTCCATCAGGCCAGAATATCTTTCCCCGGATCAAACTGCGTCAGTATGCACCTCGGAACAAAAGAATTTCGAAAGAATCATTTAAGAATTCATAAGCTGTCATTTCACATCCCAATTCGTGAATATTTTGATTAATCATTTCTAGTAGCCGCGATTACTCTGGGTGGATTTTCTTAACTAATTAATTGGTAATGCAGAACTTTTCAATGTAAAATAGGCCAATTAAAGGGGTTTAATGTTTGCAGTAAACTTTACGGTGTGGTTTTTTTCCTAATTATTGGTAAAAACTGCGGCGGCATGCCTGACTTCCTATTTTTCTCACAGGATCGGCACTTCCATTCTTGGGTACAATATGTTACATTCAGTTATTCACTGAAAAGTTTATTTTAGTTAAAAATCACTTCCGCATGACAAAACATAGCATACAACTCGTCATCTAATTACAATTTTGTTTGACGCCTTGCTTTCAACATTGCTTGTGTGGCTTCTGCATAACACGCATTATTCAACTTTTGCTACTAAAAAGTATGAGAAAATTGCCACATGTTCATCCAAACGTTACCGTGAATTGGTAAAGTTGAATAAAGCCGGCTGATCTATATCTATTTTGCTTTTTAGGATTGGTTTCGAATTCAGCCTCACAAACTGTTCACTTGATAGTTTTTACCAAAATATCGGAGCTCTTTGTGCTCCATTTCCACTTTATCGAAAGACAGTTTTGCATCCCATAATACTCGGACCTCAGTGAATATGCTAGATTAATCACAATGTCCGATTTCATTAAGGTGCTGGACAGTTTCTTAAGCTTCTCATTTTTTATTCGACATAAAATAAATATTCCTATTCCATACTTTGGGCAAATTTACAAATTCGAACCGCTTTGCATGTTATAAACAGCTTTGGTTATTGTTCTGCAGCAAGGAGGTGGTTGGAATACACCTAAGGCAATTGAACACTAGAGGCGGTCGGTTAACTCCATCCTCTCTAAATGTCTGGCTGTTTCGGAACGGCGGGAGTGAATAAGACCCGCTGACTTGCGGCATCACCGCCAAAAGACTTGAAACGTTGTGCTTGTGTGACTGATGGCAACAAAGTGTACCGTGTATCCATACGCTTGTTTTTGCAAACACTTTCTCTTATCGACAGAATGCATGCATGCGTGAATTACTGGTGCTTAAATAATTGTGATTGCTTCAAAATACATATTTGTTCAATAGAATGGTGGTGTGCAGGTGTAAATTCTCCCATACAATTAGCATATCTGCCTAAATAAAAGTGAAGCTTAGCTCATATTTGAGCTCCATAAGTCGCATGAGAGTGTTTTCTCATGGCTGGAGAGTTCTCTTTAAAATATTTACCTTCATTCAGACTGATTTTTGTCCTGCGATGTCAATGTTTAGACTACTATGGGAGTGGTGGGAAAACGAATGACCTGTGCAATGGATTTTGCTTAACCGATTTTACTCAAACTTGGAAATAAACGTACGATTTTTGTAGATGCGCTGGTCACTTGGAGTCCTGCACCCATCCCACATTTAAGCGATTTCGATTTCACATATCATACTTCACAGCCTACATAAGATTTGGCGTGGCAAACACAGCTGAAGCAGCCTCCGCGTGGTTAACGGTGCTGATTTCAGTGGAGCGCTACATGGCAATGAAGTTTCCAATGCTGGCGCTCACCTATTGTCGGCAGGGCTCAGGAAAAATGCACGTTTTTATTATTATTCTCATAGCCGTGGCTTTCAATTTTCCACTCTTTTTCATACTTCGAATTTCACCCAAAAATGTAACCTCGGAGAAAGGCGGGACCCGAACTGTTCTTGGCTCCCAATTGACAGCCTTTGGGGAATCAACAGATTACGATGTCTACACGTGGTTCCGTTTCGTCCTAGTCCAAATTATTCCCCTCATTGCACTGTGTATATTCAGTACCCTTCTTATCAATGTGGTGAGTGAGAGCTATCGCAAACCGCGTCGGAATGAGGTGGCTGGCGCGGTAACGGGGCACAAGAAAACGCAGGAACTGATGGAGATCACCAGTGCGCGGAAAACTGGCAACTGTTTAAAGCATCAGCGAGGCACAAAACCAATTCAACTGGACCGGAGGCAGCGGGCTCAAACAAAACTGACTATTATGCAGATTTGCGTCATCTTTCTCTTCCTTATTGGTCAAATTCCGCAGGCCTTCTCGTTTGAGAAGATCTCCAATGCGATAATGCCACCGTGGTGTGGACGCTGCTGTAAACTAAAAATCTACTATCGCATGTGCAGCATGATCCTCAGTCAGATAAGCTACTCTCTCTCCTTCTTTATTTACCTCAGCCTTAACAGGTACTTTCGAAAGACTCTCCTAACCTGCTGCAGGAACAAACCAGTGGAACAATATACCCGTGCATCACGTGTGGCCTAGCCCGAAACCACACATACTTCCTCTGAATTTTAACTACTTTCCTCTATGATGTCGACGAAATCAGAATATATTTTATTAAAAAACACTGCCTGCAAGTCACTCTGCTCCTTTCGTTTCTCTGCTACGAAATATTTTTGAATCATGAATGCTGGTGAATCACTAGCCCCCTCACAAACAAATGTGCAGTCCCTTAGCATTGTATCAAAAATGACGACAGTTCCCACTGCCACTGATGACAGGACAAAATAGAAATGCATTTAGTCATTAGCAGCTCTGAGACACTACTGCCAAGAAGTAGGATTTTGCTGAATGAAAATGTCAAATTTTATTAAGATTTATTAACCTGCGTTTTAGGGCAAAACCCGAGTTGGTCATTTCTTTCCCACCTTTGTTTCTCTCCCAAGAGCATGTTTAGCATAAAATGTTTAAGATTGAATAATTAGGTAGCAAGCAAAGTTTGCATTTACAATCAAAAATATTTGTTTTCAGTGGAAATCTATTTATGAACTAAAACTTCTTCCCAAGTTTAAGAGCTGATGCGTAGTTTTCTGCACTTGCGATTTTATGGGCTAAATACGTTCCAGATATACTTTAACCAAGGTTTTTGTTTTTTTTTGGGTTTTAGTTTTAAAAACTAAGTCATGACAGCGTCATCTAAACTGCAGACAGTTGCGAGTTTTGTTTATTAACTAAAATTTCTCCTTCTAATTTTCCCACACGGACTCATCGGGTTAAACTTAATTGCGCCGTGTTAACCAGTGTCGGAGAGAGCAACAACTCGAAATCAACTTACTTTTAGTAAAAAATTTAGGGAGGTAGTGACAATTGTACGTCCGAACCGACAGGAGAGGTAAGGTTAGGCTAGTAGTCAAATTTATTCCACCGTCCCTATTTCTTGCGCCTTAAGCTCAAAAATCAAATGAGCATTTAATTTTGACGCCCATTATAGCCATTAACTAGAGGGCGCTTTTTTCCAGGCTACTTGCTCTTTAAGTCCTTTGAGTTGTATCGCAGTACCAAAGCATGTGAGTTCTACACTGACAATTGAGCACAGGCCTCCAAACGTCTCATTTTCTAAAAAGAGTGATTTACTCTTAATCCCCAGGCCACTTTTGGATAATCGGGTTTTGTTTTGAAAGGATGTTTCTTAATCCTCAAAAATTTGAGCTATTAATTATCCTAGGTAGGCCAATAGCATCGCCTTTGGGGGCAAATATGACTCTCACATTTTATCTTCCTCCTCTTTCGAAAATTTTGTGTAAGATTTTACTCCCAGACAAAACTAATTAACTTCATAGTATCAATTGATATAAATGAATTATGCTCAATCTTCATTTAATTGAGGTTTCTTACTAATGTCTTGCTATTTGGTGCTCGCAAAGCACCTTTAGGGTGAGGGTTTCTTTTGATGCAAGCGGAAAAGCGGTCCTCCACACAGCAGATAGCGAGAGTTTTTGGATATCCAAAACCATCAGGTCACCGAAATTGTAGAAATCCAGTTCATCAAAGCCATTACCCTTTAATTATCGTTTAATAACTTCCTACTTAGTCTCACTACCAGCTGCAGTTAAAAGCGCACCAATTTGAGGAGTTACAAGGCGGCCAAATTGTCGTTGTTCTAATCCGAAGAAAAGAGGCATAAAATAAACTAAAAAACTGCAACTTTTGTGGGATTTTTAATGAGTTTAAGGGATTGTTTCTTGCATCTTAAACTATAACATTGTCTGACCAATACTTATCGTCCACAAAGTCTTAGAAATTCTTACACGTCAGGGTGAATTTGAAGATTTAAATTTGCACACACCCTTGCCTATTTCTGGATATCAACTCTAACCACTGAGTCAAATACGATGAAGTGGTATCTACTTAAAGTTTGATTTGACTTGCGGCTAATTTGATTTGGGAAATGTCAAATTTGTGTCAGGTGTATTATTTTCATAGTTGTGACCTCAATTAAGAAGTTATAAAAGAAACGACATCCACTCGCAGTTCCATTTTCTTTTGTATTAAGTGTGACGCGATTCTGTCAAGGATCACTCACTTAATTTTTAAGTGCCAAGATGTCGATCTAATGAATCGTCAAAGATCGCGAAAACAGTTTGGCCTTGAAGTTTGTAACATTCCCGATAAAGATAATGAATATTTTAAATCTGTGGCTCCTTCTAGTCCGTTACAAATGCCATCGCTTAATATTGACGTACATTTCTCGATTTTACCACTGAACTCTTAATCTGTTGCTAATGGCAGATGCGATTTAAGTAAGATAGTGACAAACAATTTGCAGTTCTTTATCAATTCATCTAGGTAAGAGACAGCTAGGGAAACAGGAGAAAACAGTGTTAGGAGAAAATTATTTATTACTTTTGATCAGATTATAGAGTATGCTATTTTGTCTATACTCTCTCCTAAGTGCGAGTAGTTATGCAGCCAGGAGAAAATACCATCAAATAAGTCTTTGTTCTTGTGTTTCTCACCAAAAGCGCTGTCATTCCACCTGACAAAAGAAAGTGTCTTGTTCAAGAACGCAAGCACATTTCCTTTGGGTGTTTTGTTATGGTGGTTAATATTTTATCACCATTCAGATGGCAGTCAACGAGTACGCTTCATGCTAACTTCATTCCGTTGTAAAATCCTTAGTTTGGGCTAAAAGGATGATTTGGATTTTACTGATATTTCAAATTTGATCTGGAAGGGAAGGTGAAAGGAAGTAAAATAAAGGATTTGTGACCCACACTATGCCAGTCTGATGTACCAGTATTGTCCCTTGTTGCCTCAAGTAGCAACACCACTGTGTTCATTCAAATTTGATTGTACCAGTTCTTGGGGTTTTGAGGAAGGCTACCCACTCATATTTTCAGGTTCAACTTAATTTTATGCAAAAATCCATTCATTAAAATTTTTGAAAAATTATGGAAGTGAATACTTTTGCCTCCAAAATAAATGTGGATTTCTTTAAATGAGCACTCTTAGAAATTAGAAAAAGAGCAGTGTTAAGCCGCCTATCTATTGCATTCAACCTGAAGGATGTTCCCAGTTGAGTTTCCCAAGATTTTAGTTTTACTTCTAAGGAAAATCCATTACGCTGCAATCAGACAGTATTTTTTGCTTCAAAGAGAGCTGTACTTTTTCATTTTGCCGCTTACCTTGAATTGAGTAGCACGATTCACCTCCCTACCTTCATCCTAAAAAGTATCTACTTTTGCCATTGCCAATGAGATAACTTTGCTCAAAGGCAAATTTGGGATGAAGTGTTATAACGTCCCAAGATTTCCATGAAGATGAAAGAAGACACAATACTTGAGCAGAATATGTACTGTCGAATTACGGAAGGGTTTGGAGCCTACTGACATGGTACAAAAAGCCAAGCAGCACGGCAAAGGTGAGATTACGCACCCCTCAGTAGTCCTTTATCAAAACTGGGATCAAAACAAACTATTAAAACGGTAGTGCTTTTCAATTGTGTAGCTTAAATGAAATTTTCCTCCAACAGATTCAATAGGGATAGCTTCGTGCAAAATATTTTAGTATCCTTACCGAGGACTTAGCTTTTAAAAGCCTTTCATTCAGTTTACCTACACATCTTGTAAACTAATTAAAATGTGTGCATCTTTAAATAATCTACAAAGCAAGTAATAAATGGTACGTAATGAAGTCCTAACACCGGTCAACCGCGTAAATCATTGCTTTATAACACATACTATACCCTCCGATGCAATTGAAATGAATCTGCGTTTCGGCAGAATTTACCAAGTGAGAAACATTTTGTATGCAGGTTGTTACGATCTGCATTTGGAGAAAGGTGATTAGGAGGAAGGTGAAAGAATGCTGAAGAGTTCCGGTAGAATGAACAGGTTTGCAGCAAATTCCAGTTAATTTGGCTGACACTTTGAAGGTGATACTAAATTCAAAGGCCGCCTTTCTGGATGCGGTGCACAAACAATGTCTGCATTTTCACTCGTCGTGTTTAAATCCAGTGCCTCCATGGAAGGGGGAATACCATAGCATGAAACATGCTTCCAGCGTGAATCGCGGCTACTGCACCGGAATGATTAGCTAAAGATAACTAAATAATTGCTAGAGTTTTTTGGAAGACAAATTAAATTACTACAGAAGCCTCTCCAATTACGTCGTTTGGTTAGGCACTTAATGTTAAATTCAGTAATATTTCCTTAACAAGGTATCAACTTACCGTAAATTCAACATTTGTAAAACGTTTTGTTTCCAGAAGCATAAAATTAAGCCTCTGTAATTTCCATTCGCATCTAACTGTTATTTTGCAACTGTCTATTCCATTTCCATTATGCCACCACAAAGAGAATGATAAGTATCACTTGCAGAAATTTCATTACAAAAATAAGGAGGACAAGATGAGACAAATCTTCTCAAGAGTAAGTCTAGAGGTATGAGGTCTTGCATCTTCTTTTAAGAATAGAATTTCTTTTTAAATGAATAAATAATTCTGGCTTTCTGTACAAGTTGTGCCCAGAATGTGGAGTTCCTTGCATCCCATTACACACACAAAGCGTAGTCTTCTGGGATTGGAGTGGTGCCTTCAAAGTGAATGCGTTAGGTGGAAGACGGATAGTTTGAAATATACAGCAATATGCCAGTTCATTTAACCATTTCTAAAAATTAGGCTTTTTATAATTGGAAGGAAGCAAAGAGCAAATTTATAGTCTGACGTTTATTGCCGTCCGTTAATGCATGCCTTGTGGGTGGGGCCCATTCGCTCAGTAGCTTTCACCAAATTGACGTAAATGTGAAGAAACTGCTTCATTACTTACCCTACCTAAAACAGCAAAGTTGATCTTGCCACATCAATTTCAAAAAAAACACGTCATAAGGAATCGAGTGTTATTACCAAAAGTGCTGTGCCAGTATCTGGTGATTCATATTTCCAAACCATTTCAGGGTGGTGCTTTCCGCTGTTGCAACTTTCTCAACTACTGAGAGAAATTTACACGAACCGGGTTTTATTTCGTAAAGTGAACAAGCTCGAATCACAGCCAATTCGAATGAAAAGCAGCTCCAGGTCACTAAAGGCTGCAAAGGTTAAGTGTACGCGAGTCTGCTTTATTCAAAAGTTTTTAAGATGGTGCCACATTTCAAATAAAAGGCCTTATTGCACTGGCCTTCAGAACTATTAGTACCAAGAGACAGACAGACAGATTTTGCTTTACACGCAGGAATAGATTATAAACATTCGTATTCCGAGGACGTTTACAGAACGCTAACTTTGAGCACCAGGGACACAACGCATCTGAGCTGCAATGGTCTATTTCCCTCAGGGCCTCGGGTGACCTTCGTGTTATACTATAAAACCTTACAAACGCAAACAAAACAATGCTTTTAGGCTTAAAGCCCATTTTTAGATCCCCGACATTCTGCAGTGCTATCTCTTGCTACAATGCTATAAGAAACACAGTGGCCACAGAGTTAGGACCTTCATAGTGTGGTATTACGGAGACAGTCTTAAATGTTAACATGATTGCATTTGCCAAAATGCTAGTTCAGAACGAAATCTTCTGATCAAATTTTGCCAGAGCGCGTGTATGTCTCAAGTCCTGTAATGCCTTTATGCAAAACTGGAGTTGCAATAGTTTCTTTTGGCTAGTGCAAAATAATTTGGGAAATGCGTATAACAGAAATGTAAAAGCGATGCAAAACCTCAGAGCTTGGCAAGGGTATTTTATTAAGTAAAATGGAAATGTACTCCAGAAACGTGTCTGTAAGTCTATTCAAAATGACGCAATTTGGTCTATCCGTTTAAAATACTCTTAAATAGCTTGTAATTACAAAACATGAGCATCATATGCAAGGATATTTCTAAATTATAAATATTTTTTTTAAAAAACGCATTTTTTTATGTAGCTTTGATAAATGTTGTACAAAATATGGTAGAGTGGTAAAGTCAGCCATCACTTTGATGGACAGTGAGTTGGATGGTGAGGGGGGCGTCTAAAACCCCAGAAGAACATCCCCACTTCGATGTTCTATAACATTTTTTGATTTACCCTCTAATGGAGCTGTTCCTATTGACCAACACTTCGCTAGGCCATTATATATTATACGGCAGATCAAAGCCATTCTACACAGCACAAATTCGAAAGAGTGGTGACCACCTGGCCGGCACTCCGACCAGCAGGCACGTAACTGCGCGCCATGTCGAGAATAAAGTCTTGTATATTTCAGCAGAGATGCATAGCCATAGCAGTTCAAAACGGCGAGTACATAACTAAATTTATTTCGCACTCTCCCCTAATCACTACCAAGCAGTAAGAATTTATCTTATGGATAAATTTGGTTCAAACCGTTTCCCCCCCCCCCCCCCCACTGCTTTTACCTCAATATCGTAGACCCTTTTCATCTCGAGTGAATTGCAAATGGTTTATTGAAAAACTAAGTGAAGAAAATGGAAATATAATAGAACTATATTTTATTTTATCTAACTTGCTAAATACCCTTCGCTTCGCAAAGCGTTCAAGTTCAACGCTACACATAGCTTTCCTCCACTTTGTCATAAAAACAGTTTGATGCATTTTAAACGGCCGGTTAATGGTTTGCCCATTTTGGGAGGAATTTTTTCAATTTCAGCCGCAGACTTTGAGGGCATGATTAATGTGGAGGGAAAGAGGGCAAATTCCCCCCAAATGTTCAATCGTAATATTAGACTTTTGCCCAGCCAGGAATGGCTGAGGCAATTAAGGTCAATGCTATCATTTAGATAGCTCTTCCACTTTTTTTTATTTATTTAGGAGACTAGATGTTTCTGATGTATCGCCTTGATGCACACGAATTTGTTGTTTTTTGTCCATTTTGTTTATCACTCCCCGCGACTGTTCCTTGAGCAGGCTGTTGTATGAGAGGTAATTTGCTATGATTCTCTTAAGAGAGGCTTGTTCGGGGGAAAATGAGTACCACGTACGTCGTTTTTAAGTTTCCTTGTTTTTAAACCACTTTATTTTTCATCAAAACTTCAACCTTAATCAACTCGGTCCCCAAGATATGGGTTCCTCTCATATATTTGGGTAGTACAAAGGCTTCTAAACTGTAATCTGTGTAAATGATTTATTTCCAACATAAATTATTTCATAGAACACTCAGGCATGTTGATTAAATTGTCATTCGTGTGAATGAATTTACGAAATCACATGAATTTTAGTATTACTACGATGATGTACAATTCATCATAAGCAGATGGATGGAGAGATAGATAAACTGGCAAGACCACAAAGAATCCGCTGTCTCTTATAAATCACATACACAAGTGGTTAAATTCTAACTGTGCAACACTCAACCACAACTTTGACCCTTCGTTTAAATAAAGTTCCGATGACTCAGCAGCCAAGTGTGTGTCATCAAGTATGCTCCACCTCTGGTGCAGTCTGACCAACATCCTGATCCCGGTTTTAATACATACCGGCCTAAAGCCCCTTAAGTCCTTGTTCCTAATGTGAACACATGCAACTGAATTTTCCTACTTCACTTTGTTCTTGTCCAGTGGTAGGTCAGTATCCCAACAGTTGCCCGACGCACATGCCAAGTCTATCAATCTATGGCCTGGCAGGTTACCCTTCTTTTGGACGTTTATCATAACCAAAACATTAAATAAAATCTTTTCACCACAATTTAATGGACGGGAAACAAGTAGAGCAAACTCCATTTTTTAATTCTTCTTGTATTTTCCCCAGATAATTGCTGAGGAAAGTGGTTTTTGTTAAGTTCTTACATTTTTTCAGGTCAAACAAGTTCTTAAAAATTAGAGTCGTTTGCTAAAAGCCCTATTTTAGGCATAAGTCACAACATTGGTTTTATCAAAAGGTCGGTCAATTAAAACCCCCTTATTAGTTGATATGAGAGCTTGGCTCTTTTACAAACCAAAGAGTTTTTTGTTACAAAACACAGTCTAACAGGTCTAAAATTTAAAAAAGCTCTCAAGCGTGATTAATAAGAACTATCATGACACGTTTACTAATGTAACATGCCCAAATCCCTATCACATATGCGTGTATGCTTAGTACCTCTTTGGCATTTGTCATGAGACCTATTTTCCTCATTTTTTACAACCTCATCTGTAGCCAAGCTTACGTATCTTATTCACTCCTAAATTAAATTACGACAATAAAAATAAATCTAACCTGGAACACTGAGGCAACAATCTCACGGCCAAACTTTACTCGCAAGTGAAAACAAGGTCGTCGACAATGTACACAGCTGTAGTGACATTTCCACAACACTCCTCCACGCAAATGTGTCCAAAAGCGGTCCGCAAACGTAAAGGTGAAATCAGATGTTAAAATTTGGCTTCTTCTCACAAGCTAACTAACTTGGTTTTGTGCAAACCAGTCTCAGGATTTAAGACCTCTTCTTTTTACTCCTTCCCAAAAAATTGTTTTCCTGCATTATTGAAGCAGCTGCTATCACGCGAAGTCAAGTTGACTCCGGAGAACGCAAAAACCTCAAATAAGTAAAGACTATTTGTCACGCAGATAGGTTGTCAGTTTCTATAGCCTCCTCCATTAAATTTCAACGGTTTTGAACAGCTAAAGAAGTAATTTATGTTAAATGTGACTTGTTTTGAAATGGGCCCCCACTTCTAAGTGGGCAATTATTTCTATCGCGAATGGTTGTACATTAAGGTAGTCGTTGGTTTGGAAAAACATTGATATGTATCCTTGCAATTAAAGTTTAATTCTTTAAAGGTGGTGGGTAGCTAGTTAATCTGAGAAAATCTTGTTACGATGTCAAGCCTTGTGGAAAATGACAGGTGTCTCTTAAGTACTTTACAAGTAAACGTTGCTAGCAAACCTCCCTTGTTCCTGCTTACAGTTTGATGCATACATATCTGTTAGCACTTTTTTTCAGAAAGTTTGAAATTTGAATAATGTCTAGCGCTTCTGCTTGGACTTTCATCCTACTCAAAGTGTATTCAGCTGACAATGGATGTGACATATTGGTGAGGGGCACTTTCCACAGGTAAGTCAAAAAAGAAATCACACCGAAATCCCACAATTTTGAATTAAATTTACTAATTGGGTTTTACTCACAGAAAGGATTTTCTTTTTCCATTAAACAGGGGAGATTTTACTCTCTTGGGAGCAATTAGGTCAACTAGAAATTAACAGATCTCCATAAATCAAACCACGGCCTCGGCGAAATTGACATACACGTCTCTTTTAATACAGCAGTGGGAATAAACACCTTCCACCTTGGCTGTATAACTCAAAATTTTAAGCAATGATTCCTCTATTAATTGCATTACTATTTTGAAATCTCGGAGTTATTATTGTAATTATCACGTGATTTTTGTACGTCTGGAAACACTCTACATGCCTGCGTGGATTTAGATCTTTCCTCTTTAACAAAAAGGTAGTCTGATTTATGGCCCTTTTTATGTCAGTCTCCTATTTTACTGCCACTTTGGTTGCAGTAGCGAACATCACGTTCAGACCCAGACGTGATGTGGGAAAAGTTTTGGTGGACGGCTTGATAATCACAAGCTATCAACTAGGGGTTGTTACATCACATTCAGTTAGTTTTACACCTCTCGGCATTTTACATGCTCTTTAAGCTATATTTTATCTTGGGTAGACAGAACGAATTTTTTTAAGTAACTTTTGGAAGATCCGAGGGTTGCGATTCTCCCCACAAATGGGTCTTCTCAATTATCATTCTTCATCCATTGGTCGGATTTTTTTATAGGAGTTGAAGACGTTTGAAACCGAAATGGATTATTCATTTACAAAGTACGAACCCATGGCTTCCACAATTTGTGAATTACTATTGCCGTGGTCAGGTATAAAAATTAAACACACAAGAATAAATAAACGTGGCAAAGACTCGCTAGTTCATATTCAAATCAAATGTAGTTTTTCGGTTGGACAATAACCCTGTAATTGATTCGCTTTACCGACTGTTTCAGTATTTCAGGAATATACACACTTTAAAGCCTTTGAATCACGGTCATACACCTTAATGAGTTTACAATCTGCTAAAATTTTTCCATCTACTCGGGCTTTTTGAAGTTGGCAGTGGCCATGACGCGTGCGGTCAAGGGGTTACTCTCATTTACACTTACAGCTGGAAAGTTCTAGCCTCTGCAACAGGCATTTTTAAGAAGGGTCGCATGAACTCTTCTCAGACAATTGCCGAAAAAATACCTTGCATGAGATATGGAAGAAGCGGATTGAATAAGAAACAATTCAGCTAATTCGAAAAGAACATGCATTGAGGGGGAAGTTGCCTTTATAATAAGGAGTGAAGGGAAAAGCATGCCTGTATTACAACTTCATTAAATTTCCAATCATCCGTCATGAAATTCCATGGAAACTTCTCGAACCCACGCAGAGATATTCGGGATTGGACAGTAGCGTAGGAGGTTCTTATCGAACTTGTATGCATTACTGCTTATTGGCAAGTTGGTTTATTTATGATAAGCATATAGTTATATTGTTTGCTTGCATACATGGGCGCATGTGTAGCTCCCCCAATATTTCCTTAAGATGAAAGTGGTAGTAATACTAGGACGCAAATGAATTGATGACCTGCGGAGGCCTTGCCACCCAACGGAAGTACAAGGGCGGAGCCTTAAGTTACCGCTAGGCCAAAACGAAGGTTTTAACAAACTATCAAAGAATCACGTATAGATACTGTCAGATTGGATTTTAATGCAGTCAGGATAATTGAAGTGACGGGAGCTGGGCCGTAGTTCTACGACATGGGGCATAATGGACGCGATTTTTTAATAATGATCTTGGATGAACGCCTATGTGGGTAGCCTTTTGGTCTTACTTCTATACTATTAAGGTGAATAAGGGATAGGGTGGCCTAATTACGTGTTTTCTAAAAGACTACACAAAATTCAACCCAATATTTTGTGTTGCTTTAATTTTCTAAACTCCACTGCTGCATTACTAGTAGAGAGGGGTCTTTGTCACGTTTTTATATGTTAAAAATGGCAAAAGTTTATAAGCGAGAAACAATTCACAGGTATGTCATATACTTCTTTACCCTCATTAAGTGAGCAAATAGTTTACGTTGTGATCGGTGGCGTGTTTGGATGATGCGTATGTACATAGTTATGATGCATCTTGGGGATACCGCAGGACACTAAAATTCTCCCTGGGGATAGTAATTTATGATCATTTCAGTGGTCATCATAAAACGCTGATGGTGACACAGTCACCTAGAGTATAATGATCTGCAATTTATGTAAGACCGGTGAGTTTCCTTTGAAGTAAGCACCCCTCCATTGCTTTAGAACCTCATCATTCGTGTTTGAAATTGTTTGAGGTTTTACTAGACAGGGCAATAATAGAAAATTCAAGGTCTGCTTAAGACCAACAATAAAGTGGATAGGAAACTGTTCATTCCTCCGTTACCGAGGGATTGGGCGGGGGGAAAGCAAACCGATGACAGGAATAACTTTTGTGGAGGTTTTAGCAAGTGAGTGAAATGCCCGATTATTCCTAAATTTAAAAGAAATAAGAAATTAAATTCTCTTTAGCCAAGTTTCGACGGAACAAAGTGTCTGCCTCTTGCTTATTTTAAGACGGAGTGAGAAACTTTACACATGCTACATAACTTGCTGTCGGGTATTATTACTACAACTCATGTTCAAAGAGGCAGTGACAAAAGGTATTACGAGGCAGTAGCTTTTATGTCGATATCAAAAGAATCACTCTCAACTAAATTTGAAGCCTGTGTGGGAGGAAATTTTTCACGCAAGATGCTAATAATAGCATCGGAATATAAAATTGGGAGTGGATAATCAGGGAGAGCTAACTCATCCATGTAATGAGGGGTGAATAGGAGGATACTCTATTTGGGGTGCGAAAAAGCCATTTTCCAAAATTGAGGAAGGGTAAATAATAATCTGGTGGTTTGCAAAGGAAACCTGAGCAACTGACAGTGTACCATCACAAAAGCTATGTACATATCTTAGCAAGAAGCAGTAAGTACTAGTGCCTGTGCTGAAGACGACAAATTCATTAACCATTTTAATAATGCTTAGATGAATAAGGCAAAATGCGTCCAAATCACTTGTTAAGTTCAATTTTATAGAAATGGGATTTCTTTATTTGTTAAATGTCAACCCTATTATTTAAGGAACAAAATTAGGTTCACGTAACTACTTGCTTCTTAACTAGGAACTTCAGGAAATCACTAGATGGCTCAAAACAAAAAGTACCGCAGATTGAATTGCGCCTGTGTTATGATGAAACTTCGGACCCACTGGAATGACCTGAAGGTCAGGCCGTGCATGAAAGATATTATGGCGGAGCCTTTAGGTGGTCTGTTACTAGAACGGAGAGTTAAACAAAGGGTTTACCTATTGTATAGCCCCTCTCCCTTTAAATGTCGTCCTACGCACTCCCTCTTGTCAACCTGCCACGTCGCTCATCGCAATGTAGCCGGTGCTGTAAGGAAAATATCCACAAACCGACAGCACCAATCATCTAACTTCCACGCAATTTAAACGATATTTGACCGTAGCGTCACTGATCCCGCTTGGCAGTTCCACCGGATTTGGGATTTCGTCCTGTTTGGGAATTGTACAGGAGGACAGGAAAGTGTGCTGGCCATCATGTATGCCCATCGCCAGTCGCAGGAACACTGGCCTAAAAATAGGGTCATATAACAAAGCCGGAGTTCTACATATTTACTCTTTTCCTCCTTGCCACTTGGTTCTCACTTCAGTGCTGCCCAGCCATATCCGTCTGGGTTCCTTCCAGCTAGTAGAGAAGTGGAGGAGGGTATCGCCTGTTTACGTATTTCACATCTTCATATGGATACCATAAAGAGCTGCCAAGCAAACCTTTTCATATGGTACACGGCTGTTGATGCTTAAATTGTCAGCAGATTTCCCCCAGACCGCAGGACTGAGGTAGTTGTGTCGTTTTCAACCCTTCTGTTAGGAGTCGTTACAGATATTACCTTTCACATAATATGCATCCGGTAGTAAAAATCAGGAAAATTGTCCCTTAAGAACGGATATTTCCCTGAAGACGAATAGACATAGCACTAGGGTAGAATATACACTGTCACTGTACAGTAGGACTTGGGGCTACTAGCATGACTAGGAGGCCAGATTGCCCTATGGAGCCACAATGACAGACTCCCCAATTGACCCTTTACCAAAACCGAGAGTTAAATAAACAATTAAAAACTACCAATCCGCATTTTGTGTGAAAAAGGATCCATTTGTGTAAGTGTTTTCTATATTTGAGAGGAATTTCTTGTTCGCATTTTTTGTCTGAGGTGATACAATTTCATCTCCTTCATATACAGACCCATTCCACGTGGAGGAATCGTTATTGTAACCAAAGGTACGGCATTTGAAAAGAAAACACATTTATTCCCGTTAGTAAGTAAAACTGCTGCAGGCGATATGCTGCCTTAGGATAAAATAATTCAAAAATCCCAAAATTACTTTAAAACGGTGGCCTTCTTCCGCAGTAAAGCATAACAAGGAATAGTTATAGCAATCAAAAGTTACCAGTGGCCACAACTGCCTCTTTAATACTCCCTTGCGCAGCGCTGAGTGATAAAACACTAAACGGAATGATGACGCAAATCCATCATCCACTGCGTAACTCCAACATGGCAAGTCGACTAAATTAGCACGTTCATGCGCAAATGGAATCGGTTTACATTGTCCCCGCTGTTACTTTACAGTTTTTTGTAAAATTCGTTGATGGCCGTACTTTTTACATAAAAACGCTGACTTTCAGTGATGAGGAAGCGCTGCATTGATGGCAAATATTCACTCCATTCGCCATCGTTAAAAAAGCTAGGTAAAATAAGTGACTGCGCGTCTAGTCCGCCTGATAGATGAACTGACCGAAATGTGTATATGTAACAACCAATTAACTAGTGTCATTCACCATCTGGGTGGAATATTTCCTACTCTCTAATTTACTTTGCAGTGTAAACAGGATGGGAGTATGTTCAATGTGCTTTTCGTCACCGTGAGGCGGACTCAAGGGAAAAGCATGTGCGACTAACTGGCTCTTAACCGTCTTTAATGGCAGTTGTCTGCGTAAGGAGGACGACACGCCCATGTCTGGGCATTTCCGACGAATCCAAGCGATGATAAACAGACATGACACTAGTAGTACGCAGACGTGGACTGACTGACGGAAGCATTGTTTTATAGTTTACTTGCACTTTATTCAGGCATTTGTTACACAAAATGCCAATTATTTGAGAATTTAATGCTTCCTTGCAAAACACCTATTATAATATTCAATTTTTAGATGTTCTATGATTCTTCCACTTGCGTTAAGGAGGCAACAGCTCGCTCTCAAATTTGACGAGTTGTCACAAAATTGAAAGCCTTTTGGTAGAAGCGTTTCCTTTACTTTTCTGACCTGCCCCACGTTAGGCAACTGCCACCACAGGCTTTTCCCAAGCTCCATATGGCATGATGTTAACCCGACCAAAGGGCCAACCTATACGCTGTACTTTAGTCCCCCTAATGAAGGTATAAAGGGGTTTTAGAAAAAGGCAGTCCCGAATAGGAATAAGTAGTATCCGTCTAATAAATTATATAAATTGCAAAAATTGCAAACCAAACCTCAAAGCGGTTTGCAGCTTCAAGACAATTAGCGCTTAAGACAGGTCTAATAATGTTTGCATTGAATAAAGGACTTATGTAAACCATTCAAAGGTATCAAATGCACCACCACATGAACACAACAGAGTCAAAGGTTACAATGCTACCGGCTGTGGAATTTGACTCTAAATTCATCTATTCCTTCAAGTTTACCTTCAGTCGTGATCGCCTAAAGTAGGAAATAATCCAAGACACCTCACCACACTCTATCAGACACAGCACTATCATTGAGATCAGAAACATCTCCCCCGCCACTCTTGCCTCGACTGTCGTTGGAATGGCCAATGCAGTTGAGCAGTCTCTAAAATAGCTAAAATAGACATTTTGAAGGAGATGGAGATACACTATTCTCATAAAGGGGTTACATTTACATTAGAATAGGCGGATAATCACTCCGTCGCTTTACGACCTCCACATTGGCTTCACCCGACTATATTTATCTTTTGTGCCTCTTTATTGTTGTAACGAAGGGGCTTAGAGATGTGTGCACTTTGAAACAGTTCCACAAACACCAAGAAACTGATCCCTCAATTAAAATGCTTCTGCTTTGTCCTAACAATTCAATGTAATTTCACTCGATGTTTCACTGTTCACGGTTTATCGAATCCTCCATTGTGGAGGTAGAATAGGAGGCTACGCGTTTAATAAATTTTGTGTTGGCCAAGAGCATGATGCAATCTGGACAGAAAACGTGCACTTGACCTCGGCAGCACCCACGCGTCATACATATCAATCCGTCAAGATGTGTTCAAGTGTCAAACTAGTCCGCATAGTGGAAATATGTATTAGGTGGAGGAGTTTTCTCGCACCAAAAGCAAAAGATTTTTAAAGCTATTTTGTTTTAAAGTGTGAAAATTTCCCAGCACCGTTTTACCAGGGAAGCAAGACTAAAGTTGGGCATAATTGCCTGTCTGCATAGGAGAACAGTTGTTTGCACATTTATTATGGATGTTCAGATATCCAGTGGGAAAGTGGACCAGGTTGGACTGGATGAAACAGTGTTTTTAAAGCAAGCAAGTCCAAGTAGCAGGAAACCATCTCTCTTGAAAGACTGCTGCAGTTTAGTGGAGAAATTTGTACTTATGAAGTGAGAGACACTACGCTAGGACACACGCAATGTTCCCCACGTTTGAAAGCTATGATTGTGTGTGAATAAATCAATCTGAAGCACACCGGTCGCTTAAAAAGCCTACGCATGATATAGAATTTTCTCGCTCCTTAAGCCTTTGCAAGTAAGTACCACAACAAATGTAAAAACGGGTGGCACATCATCAAAATCGTGTGTCCTACCCCTGGTAGTAAGTAAAAAACGAAGCATTCAACCATAAATTCATAAGCGGGAAAGATTGAGTTTGTTTGGAACCAACTATATGGGGTGGGCTGATAAGAAGCAGGCAGGATTCAAATTTTGCAAAATGGGCTATCCATACTTTCCTTTCAAATATAACAGTTGGATTCTCATAAGGAAATAGGCAATTTATAATGAAGTCATTAGACCATAAAAAGTGTCCAAATCTGATGACTTGACCTGAAGTCTGCCACGAAGAGTATACAGAAAAGTGGACATGGCAAATTTGTTGCAATCACTTTCAAGGCAGAAAATTCAAGGGGAATTCCTTGATAAAATTGAGAAGAAAATAAAAATAATAAGCAAAACTGCATCACTCCTAAGCTGGCATTACCCTTCCGTCAGGTATATTAATACGTGCTCTCGTACGCTTCAGGCCATAATCCTTCTCTATCTGTTCATAAATCGCCTTCGGTTTAATGAATAACAATAATTCCGTTAAAATATCCCTATTTTGCAGTCGTTAATTTAAGGAAGGGAGAGGAGACAGTATTAGAAGGGGCAAAAGTTATATTTCAATCCACGGCCATCCATCCCCTTGGGTATTTCCCATTCAACAACGTGTTTGTTTTAATTAATTGAGCTCATATTTTCTATTTATAAGAAATGAGGTGGAAACCTTGGTGCGTAAGACCTCGAGCTACCTTATGCAGTTACATGCACAGCCAATCAAGGGAAGCTTGAATTCACTTTTGTGGAAATAATTTAGGATTATACCAACAATTAACAATTTACTCTCTGATTAAACTAATTGCATTTTTAGCGAGGAGCTGTAAAAGACGTCGCCGTTGTTTTATTTGTTAACACAGGAGTAATGGGCATCAGCTAAAACAAGCAGGCTGTGGCGAATTTGCCGATCATGGCTCAAGGGCCGTTGGCATGACTGACAAGACCATTGACTTTGCAGGTTACTTTGTGCACTATACAATAAAATGACTTTACATGGTCACAGATAGTTACCCAATAAATAAACACTCTTTCCTTGATTTATTAAAAGAAGCGTACTTTGAGCCCTGGGAATCATGATCATAGTAATCACCGATCAGTGAACCTATTTGGATAATTTCAAGGAATATTATCTACCGGCAATCATTTTGTGCTGCTAGAGCTTTTCGTATTGAAATTTTGCGAAATATTTAGATGGATTTTGTATGTAAAGTTTGGTCTTATGTGGTGATTTGGTATTTGTTTAACTGGCACCTTGGCCTATCACGACTTCAACGAAGACTTAGAATGCTACTTTGGTGGCAGTGACAAGCAAACCAAATTCAAAAGTACAACTCTTCTGATTTCTACGCCTAAATACTAAACCATAGCGTCCCAGTAAAGGGCACCCACCTTGAATGGATGAATCCGCGAAGACTACAATCCTAAAATATTTATTAAAAATGGCGTCTACTCTTAGCAATTTCTCCAATCCCATGTTCCAGCACCCTAAAATCATTTAAAAATGCATTATGGGGCTGCTATAGTACCTATATAACGATGCCAATCACGAGGAGAATT